TACATTTAAATTACTTGGTATCGTTTGGCTTGTATATTCCCATTGAGGTTTAAGACTGCAATTGATCAGTCCGTTATTGGCATATGTGCATACTGTGCATATGCCTCGATGTTGCCTTAATTCACAAGCTTTTTGTAAGCAATGATGGATAGTGGCTAGCAGTGGAATTCAGGACCCCAATGGGAAGATACAAGCCAAACAATACCAAGTGAATTTAAATTCACTCCATTGCACAAGCAAGTGGGTATCAGAACTCAGTAACTGAGTGGATAATGCGATGGCGTTTGAAGCGAATGGTACTGAGTTAAAGTCCCAGAGTGCACAGCAAATCTGATATGCAAGTACATCTAGCTGGCGAGTCCCAGATAGGATGAAACGCGCGTCCTGGATTCCACTGCTAGCCACTATCCATCATTGCTTACAAAAAAGTACATTTATCTTGGATTAAACGGTATGATGAATTTGTTCATTTAAAGTTCAAATTTCATTTTATTTTTAGACCATCTCTATTTCCTCATTATTCTATTGAAGTTGATAAAAGGGACTATTTATTTTAAAGATAAAAAGAATTTCGTTATGAAAACTAAACACTAACATATATACAGAAATAAAGATAAAGCATCAGTTTCCCATGGATTCTACAAAATATAAATCACAGATATCTTTAATAATATCATGGATGAAAATCGATAATTATTGATAGTTTTGCTATGGAAATTTATTCAACGAAGCGGTACATACATTGTAAATAAAATTGACATTGGAGACACCATATGAACTAGTTGATGTCTATACTTTGGTGATACATGACATGATTACAGTGAAATTTAAACATCATAATTCCATTTCTCTATAATACTTCATCCAAAATATATATACACATATTTGATCGGTAAAAAATCATCATTACGAAACGTCTTTCATCTGTATTGCTAACGTCTTTATGAATAAAATGGCCATTAAACAGTTGTTTTGTCTACATAAGCCTTTTCCTAGATTTAAATAAACAACTAAACACACATCTAGACACCAAGTATGGAGAAGACATTCTTTAATGTTTCAAAAATTAACGCTAAGTAGTTCTAACATCCTAGTTTGTAAACGAATCCAAGCTTCTTGATAATAATGTAAATAATAAAAATTTCAGTTATGAGCTTAGGCGCTAACATAGATCAGTCTTAAATCAACATTTCGCTTTGACATTAGTTCAAAACGATCAAAAGATTCATACACTTTATTTACATCTTTATCGAATAAAATTATATCATCTGCGTATTTGAAGTCAGTAAGTAAATCACCTGATATAGGTTCAATCCTTAAGAAGTTGAACAACGAAAACCTTATCTTTACAAGAATATCTATGATGAAGCTAATTGTCAATGGAAGGAAATGGACAAACTTGATAAACAATATTATTACTTTAGTCAATATTATATTTTTGGTACAATATAGAATTCTCAACACAAAGTATTTCTTATTTCTTGATCAATCCTGATGGTAAACACTGAGTGATCATTAGTTACATGTTATCATTTCAGAAATCGACATTTGAATATTCATTGTTTTCAATCCATATTACCAGTAATCACGATGTCACCGATTTTACATTTTTGTAACTTGTACAGTGAAAGATCACTAACGTTTCATAGACGTACCTAAATAGATTATGCAATTAATTGGCATAATAATTTATTAAAACAAACATAAAAAACATATAACTTGTTGAAATATCTAGATGGTAAAGATAAGCAGCCTAGATATTCAAGCAGGCCGTCAGTCATGTCACAGTTCATCACAAACTGTAACTCAACATCATCTATTTCTAAACAATTGTTTATCATTAATTTGTCATAATTATGTAAATAAGAGTTATTTACTATAAAATATGTTTAATTTATGAGTTGACAAGGATAGTTTTAATTCATATTTTTTCCGTTTGTTTATATTTATAAATTAGGCACAAAATTTAAAATATTATTTAAAATTATTCGAAATTATATTTGAACCAACGTAATTAATTATGAACTTTTGTATCATTAAGATAATAAAAAGTGGTAACATTTATTGATACATTTACAATCTGTTTTAAGTTATACATTTATAGTAGATACTAAATGTAATGATACTTTAAAATGATTTTAATGGAGTTTTGTTCTCTGAGCTAGATGGTTTGGTTGTGGAGCTTTCATCATACTTCTGAACGACATCATCAGCACAAACTTCAGGTAGAAAGCTCCATGAACAAACTATCCAGCTCAGTAAACAAAACTCCATCAAAATCATCTACTTATGCTATAAATGTTTACTTTAAAATGAATAAAACAGTATAATAGAATAAATTAATTAATCAATGTTTACAGATATTTCGATAAATAAATAAAAATTAATCTTCTGACATTTCGTAACTCAATGTAAGCTACTTCTTCAGAGAATAAATAACCAAATTAAAACTAATCCAAGTTTTAATAGTACAAAGAAACAACATAAGTATAATAGAATTAAAGGGAAAGAATGTATATGTAAAATCTCATCAAAAGAATTTGAAGCAAATCCAACGTTTCGCTTGGCGATCTGGTCCAAGCTTTTTCAAGGAAATATAATCAAATATCAAAACTATCGAATATAAATAGGTACATGATTCTCCAATTTACTGTATAGTGAATAAGTCATACAAGTATAATAGAATGTTTTATAAACTTATATTGCAAAAAAGAAATAATAATAATCCTTAGATTTTGAATGAAACGGATAAATAGTTATATGTGCTTTGAATGATACACAATATGATGATCAGAACTAATATGTGTAAAGGTATAAACAATTCTGAAGGAAATAATAGTAAAAAGGTTATACAAACCTGTAAGATAATTAAACATTCATCCTTTATATGAAGGTGTTTTATTTTCTGAATTGATCGGTTTAGTCATGAAGCTTCTATTCAAAGTGTATATTAATATTATCATTTAAAAAGACAAAACAAAAGCATTTCACTGCCAAATTATCTTGGCCAACAAACACAACATTCTAAGAATTCCTCATACTTAGCTACATATATTTCTTTATAATTTCATATATTTACTGTATTTTATTCTATTTGATGATAAATAGAACTATTTTAACCGTAAATCAAAATAATCCATTATAGAAAAATAATAATATCCATCTTTGTTTATAAAGCATGTGACTTCAGGTAATATCAAGGCAATCCGCACAGAATGCACATATGCTAATAAAAAACAGATCAATTGTAGTCTTAAATAACAATGGAAAGATACAAATAAAACAAGACGAAGTGAATTTAAACTTCAGCACATTGCAAAAGCATATAGCTATCAACACTTAATAGCTAAGTGGATAACGTGATGGCGTTTGAAGCGAACCATACTGGGTTCGAGTCCCAGAGTAAACATCAATTCTGAGATGCAGGTACATTCAGTTGACGAGTCTTAAATAAGACAAAACACGCATCCTAGATTTCACCGTTAGCTATTATCCATCTTTGTTTATCATATCAAGGCAATTCACACAACATGCATATATACCAACAAAAGACTAATTGCAACGAGAAGATACAAGTAAACAATAGTAAATGAGTAATAAATTAATGTTCATGTATTTTTTTATTTATTATTTTGAATTATAACACTAAATATCAAATAATCATTAAATGAATAATAATAAATTTATATTGAAATTCAATTTAACTTACTCTCATTTGATTCATTGAATACAATAATTATTTCCATAGAAATGATAATAAATATACAAAAATAAATTAAATATTGATTAAGATACATTATTTTACCGCTTTAATTAAATTTTGTTTAAATTATTATTCTTATTATAGAAAATAATTTTATATTCAATGTACAATAATCTTTTTTTTTCAAATTTCAATCCTTACAACTTTGTATTGTTTTGTTTATTAAATGGAAAGCCAAAAATGTATAGAATCTTTTTTTGTTTGTTTGAATAGAATAGAATGATATTTGTTTTAATATAGAATTAAATGAATAAATAATACATTGAATAGAATTAATTGAATATTGAATAATATATATATATGATAGATATTACATAATTCAAATTTTGTATATACATTAAGCGATTCACTTTTAGACTGAATTGGAATATAAAGAAAAAAGAAGAAAAGAAAGAAAAAAGTAGAGAAAATATTGTTTTATTTTAATTTAAGAATAACTTTTAATACTGGTTAGTTTGATAATCATCATTATTGTTACTTCTATTTAAATTATAAAAATGAAATCGTTTTAACCAATCAAAATAATTTCAGGGTTTTTTTGTTGTTGTTGATGTATTGAGATAGAAACAAGTTTTTCTTCACCTTTAAGTTATTTGATCAAAATTAACTGTAGAATAATAAAATTTATGCAAAAAATAATGAAATATCTAAGTAAAACATACTTAAACTTCATTCTGAATAGATTTGTGATTGTATGTATGAATTCTTGTAATTGCAAATACGCCTGTTACTCCTCTTCGAGGAGCATAGGCCACCCATTAACACTCTCCATCCCTGTTTCCCATCAGGATTTCAAGTTAGCGTTTATCTCATGATGCAGTTTGAAGAGTCCCGTAATGTATTTCTTATCCAACTCCAATGTTTTTTTCTTAATTTCCTCTTCAGATAGAACATGATTTGTCCTCTCCCATAGTAGACTGTTGCTGAAAGTAATCGACCAACGGATATTGAATATCTTACGTAAACAACTGTTTATAAATACTTAGACCTTTTTGATGATGGTTATAGTAGTTCTCCATGGTTCAGCTCTGTGCAGTTGGACTGTTTTGACGTTCGCATTGAAAATTCTGACTTCGATATTGGTTGACAGTTGTTTAGAGTTCCATATGTTCTTCAACTGTAGGAATGCGGCCCTTGCTTTGTTAATCCTCGCCTTTACGTTCGCATCCGATTAAGAATTGTATAAGAAATTATCTTCCATTTTGGTGAATTTTTCTTCTCTGAGCTGAATCATTTAATTATTGGAGCATTCATTGTTTTTCTAAACAATATTAAAACAAAATTTTACCTGAATTTTATTCTGACGATTGTGTTCAAAAAAGAACAGTCAATGTTCTATGATTAAGTTATTCAGCTCAAAGAACGAAATTCCAACAAAATCATCTATCTGATAATTTATCATATATATAAAATCGAACAAATAACCAGCATGTTTTGTCTCTGTTTATCAGTGCAACCTAGGGCACGTGTTTCTTGGTGTTTGAGACTAGTCAAATACAGTTAATATTCACACTCCAATGCAAGTCTTGTTTAGAACGAAACACGTTTCGTCGTTTTTACTCCCAGATAAAATCAAAACTTATAAGATTATCTATAAACAAGAATGTTTAAACCAAGACAGTTCCCTCAAGATACATAAATCTTAATAGATACTGAATAAAATTTATTCTTAATTATCAAAATAGAAGTCTTTGTGAATATTCAATGAATAAACTATGGCAATAAAATGATTTGAAACATTATCAACCGGAAATAAACACCTATTTTTTATCTGTTGGGAATATATGCTTGATTATGTTTTTGCAAGTAAAAGTCGATTCTCTTAACTAATTTCCAAATATTTGAACCTTATGAGGAAAGTATATTAAACATATACATTTTCACATTATGCATCATTGAAAAAAATAAATCAATTTTCGATCACTGAACTGCAAGTCTAAAACATACATCATCTATTTCAGTTTGAGCAGATACATCATTTTACACAAAGACATTGACAATCAAAGTCAAGCACACATTTTAACTTGACAAATCAGTTTTTTAAAAAGGAAACTAAGTCGTCCTATTAGCATTAAAATTTAATAGTTTTGGAGGTAATCTCTATATTGCATTAACTAAAGGTTCTAGGTTAAACTCTTGGTAAAACTGTGGGTATGCAGTGTGGAAAGAAATTTTATACTAGAAAGAAATAATTGTACAACATTCTATGATTTTAAAATTGTCCTTTATATGAGATCTATCTTAGATAAATGCAACTAATAATTTAAACTTATTCCCACAGAACGCTTTTAACTAAATTTTTAATTTACAAACAACACTTTTTAGTCTAAATGACAGGCTTAACAAGAAACTTGATTTGTCTTCAAAAAAGGTATAATACAGTTTGAGAGTACTTCGGAACTTTATTTTCTGTTGACAACCGAATTTCATGAATCCATGTGTAGTCGTTCTACATTACCATACATATGTAAGTAAAAATTCATTATAAAGTATCCTTAACGATGACTATCTGACAAAAACATTATATTACCACTATAAATTGGTGTCGAAATAAATGATTAGATGGACTTTATATTGTGATTTTTAATAAATCATGAGACATCAGTAAGACCAATCTCATTTTTACGATACCATCAGCAACAGCCTACCGTAGGAGAGAACAAACCAGCTTCCATCTGAAGAGGAAATTAGGAAAAGACTTTGGAAGTAGATCGGACAGACATTGAGGAAACCATCAAACTGCATCACAAGACAAGCGCTAACTTGAAATCCTGAAAGGAAACGAAAAAGAGAAAGGCCAAAGAACACAATGAATCGAGAACTGGAAGCAGACATGAAAAGGATGAATAGGAACTAGAAACAGCTGGGAAGGATTATTTAGAACAGAGTTCAACGAATGCTGGTGGGTGGCCTATGCTTCTCGAAGAGAGGTGGCAGGCGTAAGTAAGTATTTTCGCAATGACAACATCCTAATAGAAACTGACATAAATTCAAGAATTATCCAAACCATTAACTCGCTTCACAATGTCAGATTCAGAACAATTACCGAAGGGGGTTAATTTATAAAAATCCGTCCTAAACAGCTAAAATCAAACAACAAGAAGAGGTGAACTATAATTTTGCATAAGTTGGTACTCTTCAACAAGATAAATCGTCAACCATATGTAAAAGAATGCTTGTCGATTGATTCGAGTTCCCATCACCTGATATTATTTAAAGTTACCATCAAGTTATTCTAGCACCTGCTATGGAATTTAAATATTTATTTGAATATTAACCAGTGTTATATTTGTTCAAATCTAAGTGATGATCGAATTCAATTGGTCAGCATTATACAGTATAGCAGCATATGTACATTTGAGTTTGTTCACATTTAATTTGGCTAAGCCCTTTTGTTAACTTATTTAACGGATAGAGTCATCCATACAATAACAAATTATCCTATACCATTGTACCTTTATTATTATTGCACTTGTATGAATATGTATGCTTGAGCATTGCTAACATGAAAAAAGTTGAGATTATAACCTACATTATGTAATATAAAAATAGTTTCAACAACAAAACAAACCCAGTAATTCTAATAATTCGAGTAGAATAGGAACGAAAAAACAAGAAAAGATTATTTCATACGTTATTTTGATTAATTTTACAGAATAGAAAATAATGACGATTTGATACGTACATGTATATAATAAATAATATGACTTATCAGATTGAAAAGAATACAGTCAATAAATATGTACTTCATTTACTTGGAGTTAGTAAGGTAGCATTGAATTTATTCTATGATTAAAAATAACACTGATCAACAATCATGAATTCAAATACTGATTGATCCCTAAATAGAAATTAATATCAGGTATGTCCACTCTTTTAGTATTAATCGAATTCTATCGATCTGAATAGCTCGACGGTAGCATTAACGATAATGAAGTTGGTTAATACGAATTCAAATTCACCAGAGAATATCAGTTTTGTAAAGATTACATGTACACCTTATTGACAAGTACTGTAATAACATGAAACTTAGGTTGAATAAGGTTTTTCTTTCGATTAACCCATATCTGATATGATGGAAAGAAAAGTCAATTTTCGATTGACTTACTCATTATGAGTTTTGTTCAACAATACTTCTGTCTTGATTCAATGTAATGATTACTCAATGTAGTATTTGTTTTCTTTTCTCGTATGAGGTTTTATTCTGTATAATATTCGATATTCTTGTATTCCATTGACATGAACTATGCTCAATATGTGATTTGTTATATATGTGATTTCATCCTAATTACTAATCGAAATAGGTGTACAATCAATATATAAATAAGTGTATTTTTTACTAGGGTCGTTGTCGTTGTGTTTTGGGTGTTAATAAATCTTCACTTAGACCAGTAGTTGTGTTCTTACTTTCGCGTCGTGGGAATTGCACAGATTGCACGTTTCGAGTATAAGTGATAAGCGTTTCCGACAAAACAATCAGCGACGACCAGATACAAAAAGTAGCATTAAAAGAGCCAAGACAATAAGCATTCAAACGACAAGTTATAACAATATCACATAACGATTGACAATTTAACTAAATGTTATCTTATTTTCAAGCAAAAAGTCAAATTTTGTAGTTACACATCAATGAGTCATTATTATTATCATCACTTTATTCAAACCTATTCTATTTGATTACAATAAAGTACTCTCAGTATAAACTTGCTGTATTGAAATAAATTCCCTCTGAATATGCATTTATTCGACAGTATTCAAAATATAAAATTTAAATAAATTTCTAAGAGTAATTACTCACCAATCTTTGATGACTTATAATATCTTTTATTATCTGAAAATATAGTTCATACATGAATTCCAGCTTAATCATTATCCAATTTTCTCAAAATTCATAGATTTCATTTATCTTAATAACACTTGATATTGAGAGTATCTATTATTCAGGAAATATTACCTATTCACATAAATATGTTTGTAAATACCCAGACAATACTTTTGTTGATATTTTTTCCAAGTAATAATTCATAAAAACAATCCTTATATATATATATATATATATATATATATATATATATATATATATATATATATATATATATGACTGCAATTTATAGTTACTCTTAATAATCCATGATTGTCTAGATACATTAAATACTAGAGAATATTTTATTGTTTAGTACAGAACATGAATATAAGTTATTATTTATAAGATTTATGTTCAGCTGCATATTAATGACAAAAAAAATGACAAGGTAAGTATGTAAGTAACAAACAATTGTACTGTAATTTTAATTAATAATTGCATTGGCTGAAATCTTTTACTGAGGTTACATATGTATTTATTCTTTATTTTCACACTTATTATTCTTAGATTTCATGTATAATTTTAGGTGCATGGTTTCTACGTTCAGTATATTTTTATTATTATTATCATCAGTAATGCTAAAATAATTTCGATTCCAAGGATTTCCGTTTAAGTCATCTCCTCTCACTGCATTGGTATTTAATTTTGGCAACGTGTTCTGATGTATATTTGTGCTAGTTGCAACATTTATAACTGCCTGTTGTATTCCAAACCATACCAAGGATATTGGTATAATTAAAGAAGGTGGATTTTATACAAATAATTTAAAACGACCATAACTTAGGGATGACTTCCAATTGGACTATCAGTTCTACATTTTCGGAGTTTACACTTTAGCTACTTTTACAAATCACAGTAGTATAAATAACATGACAAAAAAGGCAAGCAGTGACCAAATGGTAAATAAGTACAGAATGCTCTGACATCGCGTCATGAATACATTAGAAATGAAGGAAGTCTCATTTTCTGATGATGCTATCAAACCAACTCACCTCGTATAAAAATTGAATTTGTCATTTAAATATGCTATGATATACCAAGTATATGTTGACTTCGCCATGACGTCACTGTACTCGACTGTTTTAATAGTTTTACTTTAATATTTCTAAGTTCATTGTATTTGTGATTGGTTTCCGAATACTAATATTAATCCTGATATAGAAGTTGATATGATAGAGTGAAACAAAATAACGGGGGTTGCGTAGCACGGCGGGCCCAATGGTGATCTGCTGTGGATGTGTGACCGAGAACCTTCAGCTACGGTGTGTTCAATGAAATTAATGAGGTTAACATCAATGTCGAACACTTTCATAACTATTTATTTTGGGGATTTGCTCACCGCTACAGACAAAATAATGTACTTTCGACTAGGGTTATTATGTGTTTTAAAGTGGATAAATCTTCACTTGTACCAGCCTTCTATGTTCATACTTCGCGTAATGGTTTCTCGTTTCCAGGTAAAAGTAATGGGCGACGCAAATATGAAAATGATTATTCGAAAAACTTCACAGTAATAATCAAGTTTAAAAGATAGCGTCGAGACGGTTTTCCGGTGACATTTCTTAATTAACTACTAGTGGTTTGCGGGAATAACTCTAGATGTCACCTAATTCCATTTAAGCTTTTTAGTAACTATTTAGAATCTTGTGACTAAAGTATAACCCACTTTTCCTCAGCGGTAGCAAACTGAAAATTAAGATACTTAGATTTTAACTAAAAGGTTATAGGTTCAAATCCTGTGATTCACTTCGAATCATCACCAAATATTACTAACTCTTATACAAAATTGCTTAACTCAAGTTAAGACTCACAAGCAGCAGTTGAATGCAATACATGGTTCTAACCCTAGTGTGATCGTAGGTGTGCACTACAGGGGAATCCTATACTAGAATGAAAAAGCTGTTCAGTACACCGTGATTTCCAGTAGTAACACAACTAAGATAAATCTGTGACGAATACAATCCATATATTAAACCAATCTACACAAAACTTCAACTAAGTTATAATATTCAGATTAATAGTGACTTACTTCAACGTGTTCTTAAAGTTTAATTAAGACATTGTAGGCGGTGGAGTTCAAACATGTTGAAAGTGAAACAGTTGTCATTAATAGCACTCAATAATCGTTACACTAACTCACAAAGTAATTGAATTCGAAATTATAACATTGAACCCCATATTACTAGTTCATTGCGAAACTTGAAGGTCCCACGTTAACTCCATAACGAGGTCGTCCGTGCTCATTCCTCAATAGTTTTATACTAGAATGAAATAGCTAGTCTAGTTTTTAATAATACTCCAACTGAGATCAATCTATAAAGAATCACAACTTATTATTAATTTGAATATATTCAGTTTATTCATTTAATGAATAAGACAAAAAAAGCGCCTATATGAGTTAATGAATTATAGATTAAGTAATAAACAACATAGAACTTCTTTTTAAAAATATTAAAACAAAAATTATAAAACAGTAAACAAACCACAAATAAATTAATTCATGACTAGAATGACTACTGACAATTAAAATAAAGTAGTATTGGTAAAATAGATGAATTTTATCACCAGTGTAAAATAATAAAAACAAAATTAATCAATTTTACAAACACATTTCACAAAAAGAAACAAAATATTATAAATAATGATAATAAAATTTAAAAGATAACAACCAAATATTTTCTTTTAATTCAATAGAAACTAAAACACTGAAAGCATAAAATGATCAACTCCAAATGAAATGCACAAACACAAACACACACACCACACAGACGGATACAATCATATATATATTTATCATTATGAGTCTTACTACAATTATTGTGTATTATGCAATCTAAGATAAATAAACAAAAGTCAATAGGATTATAAATGCGTATATGAACTCAAAAGAATCTTGTGTAAGGAATATTGTTCATGATAATAACCAACCAACCAGCTTCATGATAATATAGTTGTAGCACGTTCAGTTAAATGATGAAGAAGATTTTCAAAGCTAGAAAAAGAGAGATGAATAGAAAGCAACAAGAGTAACAAAAAAACTGTTAGACAATAAAAGAAGTTAAAATATACTGATATATGTAAATTAAAACAACAGGTATATATTTATTCGATCTTTTGAATAGTATGTTATTTATATTTTTTCCGATTAATGTCTGGATTGAAAGATATTTCAATGTTAAACAAGATGGTATGATTTAATTAAAACGAAAGTTTAACAACAGTAGAATCTAACCAAAGTGTGGATCAGTACTGAACAGTACGCTTCAAAATCAACAAGGTGAAGTCATGTAATGTTAATCGTGGTAAAGATTTACCCATAAGAAATATGGATCGGCGTAGAACATAGCATATATTTATCAGTTCATGTTGACACACTATATCAACACACTCAGACGAAATTATCAAGACAAAGATCAAGCAGAGCAGTACTCTTATAATTACTATTAAGAGGAGGAGGAGGAGTAGAAAAAGCTATGCCTAAACAGCACCACTCAAAAAGAATGGATGGATTCGCGTAACAATCTGAGCACCTGGGAGTATCACAGCCTACACACAAATCAAGTGACTTGTGTGGCGCATATGTATTCAGTGCACTTTTGTACCAATATTTATATTCAAATAAGTAAAAAAAATAATAAGTTGGAAAGTAGTCTTAATATTCAAGATCTGAGAGAAGATAAAAATTAAGTGCATCTGAGTCACATCATACAACGTGTCCAACCACTATTACGATAATCGCGTGAACTCCAACCATGTATTCTGCGCATACTTATATCACTCAGTTCAACAAACAATAACTTAATGGAATGATGCCACTTTTCGGGTTGGTCGACTCTACTGTTTTTCTAACCAACACCTACACAGCATTAGATATTACGTGTCAAGACAGGCGGTGACTGGGCATACATGATATAAGTTCCAACAGCTTCAGGCAATGAAAATTCACTACAACTGTATAACCTCTAAAAATAAAATCATCGGAAACAGAAATCATCTTTATTAAGATATTTTTGTAAATTATATCTTGACTGGAATTATGAATTTAGTCTTAAACAAACATCTTATTTCCCTAGCTGTTAAAACACAGAAAATATTAAAAGAAAATTATTCAACTTACATCATTTTTATAGTTAAACGGTTTTTTTCTATTTGGACGAAGTTTTTCAGGTGGTTCAGGCAACATAGGTCCTTCTACTTCTGGATCCTTTGACTTGACAAAAAGTATGTTAAAAAAAGGTTAACCACTTAACCTTAAGAGGGTCTACATTTTTCATGTAAACATGTATAAAACAATCCTGTTTTTGATGAGATACAGAAACACTATTCTACTTGATTGTTACCAATGTTGATGTTACAGAAATCCAGTTTGGTTTCATTTTGTAATAAAAAAGCCTATAACTTATTGGTCCAGATACAAATTTCCAATTACGGGATAATACATTCCACCACTCGCTAACGTCAACATTGTTTCGTTTAAAGTGTCCCGAAAAAATACTTCAGCAACTCCGAGCAAGACCTAGACCCCCACACACACATCTCCTCGTGGTTCCCTTGAAGACAGTGGACAAAGTCCCATGAACTAACATGGAAGGACAAAAGGATATTAGACTAATCACGCACTTTATCGAAACACGGATTGATACTTACTCATGATACAAGCTATCTGGGTAAAAAACATCAAATATGGGAGAGGAAACCATCATAACCTCCCCGTGGAGTATCGATGCCTATGTGTATACTATCGGATGCATAGGTCTTCGACTTATGTATTTTATTTTTGTGTGTAACTTATACTTTCAAAGCTAATAAGCAACAGTTAACCCTTCCCAGTAGCTAGCCCATACTTTAAAGGAGTAGATCCAGTAAAGTTAGTCACTTTCACCATAATGTATGACTGAAGGGGCATCTCACCAACCCTCATCCTAGGCTAGTATTTTAGACGCTATATTAGTCAAACTAATCCCTCTATGGTTATCACAGGATGATTTTGGCCCCTTCTTATATATTGGGACGATCAGTGATAGCGATCTGTCGGATGGGATTAGGTTCAGTTCCCAGATTTTAGCTCAAATATTAGTCAGCCTAATCGCTAAAACTGGACCACCATACTTCAAAACCTCTGAAGCCAATCCATCTGGACCAGCTGCCCTTCCTCGTTTCAGATTAGCCATAGCTTTTTAAACTTCAGTTAGAATCGAGGGGGCTACTTCAATGTTGCATTCAGGGTGTTCGGAAATGGTGAGTGGTTGCAGAGTAGCTGGAAGCCAGCTGAACTACTCCTTAAAGTGTTCCGCCCATCGTTCTAAACGTCGGGACTGATAGCAGATAAGAGTACCATCTTCTTCCAAGATTGTTTCACTTACACTTGACTTCTTAATTCCAGTTTCTTTTATTAGTCTGAAAAGCTGTCTTGTTACCTACAGCCATCGCGTTTTCCATCTCTTTTGCTTTAGATGTCCACCACTGCTCACGGTCGTTCCTTAGACCTTTGTTTAACCTAGATCTGATTTGCTTTCGCTCATCATCGTGTTCAGAGCCTGATGGTATAAGTCTGCCAGAATCCATTACTGCGATAGACTTAGAAGAAATTCATTGGTTTCTTGTAACCCTTTGGTTTAAATCACTAATAGATATCACTGCTGTTTGCATATCTCTCCAAGCAACATCTGGGTCAGCCTCGTTTTCAGAACTGCCCAAGTGTAACCTCAGTTGTTCCTGGAATCTACTTTCGGCTTTCTCGTCACTCAGTTCAGTTCTAATGGATCTTCTTAGTGTGATTTTTCTGAGTCCATTGAGGTGCAAGCAAATGCATACTCGTATCAGAGGATGATCAGGGTCCAAGCAGGTATTCCAGAATGAGCGACAATCTACTATCGACCCTCTCCAACGACGACTGATGGCAATATGGTCTATCTGAGTCCATCGTCAATTTGATGCAGGGAACCGCCATGTTACATGATGTCTCTTCGTACGTTCCAAATTAGTCTTTGCTAAAATAAACGACTGTGTGGGAACAGTTGCAGCAGACGACCACCATTAGGTCGCCAGATACACGGAGGGTGTATCTCGTCAAGTGAATGATCACACTATGATCCCGTTTTTGGAGACAGAATACATCAATGGTACGAGATTCTACGGTTTTAGCCAGGAGACCTGTTGGCCGATTTGACATGGGTTGCATACGTTGGAGGCTCCAATGTGTAGTTTCGAGCGAGGTTTCAGTAGACCTGGGACAGTGTTTCGCGCACTAGAATCGTTGGACATGGCGACACTTGAGGAGGAAGTCAAAAGAGGAAGTTAAGAGTTGAGAGTCGAGGTAGGAAGAATAATAGGAATTGGAGAGGCAAATTGATTATGAATACAGTGACAATGGATTAGATTAGCATAACAAGTACAATCATTTAACAAAGTCACGAGGAAGTGATTAGCCATTTCTTTCTAGTTTGAAGTCCTTCAACAGTGCGTGCTCATGAACAAACATGTGGTCGGATTCAAGACTCTCTGGCTTAGCCTGAAGCTTCAATCGACGGACAATACAGCACGACCCTTATCTTATACCCAATCAGTAACGACCGTGTCTATCGCAGCATGGTTAACTTCGTATCGATCAATGGATTTTTAATCGAACTCAACTCCGATGTCTATAACCTCAGACCGGAAAATTTCCGAAATTAGCTCTCTAAGCTAGTCACTAATACACACATGATGGTTGTCAATATACTGGGTATTATGGGAACAATTAACTAACTCTCTCCCTCACTGGATTTCAATAACTGTATACGTGATGTCGGTTTGTGATGAAACCTACCCTCCTCCCTTAACAATAACAATAAAAGTAGTAAACTAATAAAAAAGGACAAAACATACTTTTCTAACTCTAACAGTCTCAATTCTTCTTCCAATTCAATTAGTCGACATTTAAGTTCATTTCGTTCATGTAGCAGATAACGTAATTCTTCTACAGAGATATATTTATTAGTAGTATTTGATTCTTGTTCAAAATTAATTGATTCTAAACCTTGTCCAGCAGGTAGTTGTAGTATTGATTCACATGTATTCGACTTGATGTTTTGAACAAAAAAATTAAATATAAAGAAGAAACAATAATTGACAGTGTGTAGAAGAAAATTATTAACAATTTGTGGGTTGTATTCTTCATATCCGTTGATCTCATTTGGGACACTACTGAAAACTAAGGATCAATCTGTGACAATCTACAGTACACAAATCAATCTCCATAAAACTTTCCACTCAACTATACGTCGCCTCATTGGTAACTTGCTTCAATATGTTCCTGGATTCTGACTGAGAAGTCGTGACTGGTGGAGTTCAAACATGTCGTGAGTTAAACAGTTTTAAAGTGACATTGAATGATCACTGTGCTATCGTTTGAACTGCTTGAAATCGCAGCGGTAACATTAGGTACTAACATGTTGTTTGTATATTTTCCCCCAGACCTGAATGTCCTGGGGCCAGGAGTGTGCAGAGTCCAATACTAGGACGAGACATCTGTTCGGTGCTCCTTGGTTTCCAATAATACCTCAAATGAGGTCAATCTGTGATGAAAATAACCCACAAACTAAACTGTTATCCCCATATCCACTCAAGATGAATACCAAAGGATTCGAAATAATTGTAGCAGGAATAATAATGATAAAAACGAAGCATTGAAAATATAATTAAGAAGACAGAATCAACAGTTATACATGAAAGAATACTGGAACTTAAAATCTATAGAATGACAAAGAATGAATGAACCTGAGTCGCTGGACCAATGTTAAGCCACGTCACGTCTCCACTCCAACCACTGATCGTGGTTATCACGCTGACCTCATCCAGGTAGTCGGTACCTAGTAACGTAACTCAGATCGCCAGTCAATGATTCCGTGGACTGATGATATATTAGGATTTGGCTGCCCTTAAGCTTATATCCAAGTTATTCGTACTCTATCCATCGCTCGACGTTGAGGTAGGCAGTGGTTTGTCATACATAACGGTGTTCTAAAACCTTAATCGATTGCTAAATATATTAACTATAAAACTCAATGACTTGAGTTTAGATGAAAAGCGTCTTGAAAACAGTTTTAAATGTAGTAATGAAATCTCTCAGGTACAACTTTAGAAAAGTGTTCACTTTCCTTCGTGAAAGTAACCAAGCCACATATATAATTATTACTCTTGATACATCAATATTTTTTACCAAGTCCTGAATATTAACAACATGAAACAATCCAAACTGTGAATAATAATAATAATAATAATAGTTATATTTTTAAGGCTATCAGTCACGTAAATAATGAAGCTAAAATATTTTTGAATACGTGTTAGGTTGTTAGAGATACTGAACAAGAAACGCTCCTTGACCAAGATTTCAAACCAGTTAAGACCCAATATTAGGGAACTGATACCTAAATCTAGATCATTGAGTATCATAACCCAAGACGCTATTCAAGCAGTGACCAACCTCTTATAAGACTGAGATATTTACACTAACTTATCACTGAGTAGTGTCCAACGTTAATAAATTCTACCTATGCACAAAATACAGCAATGATTAGCCAATGATGTAAACAATCAAATTATGTAACTTAAAGCTAATATTACCATTATTCCAGATTGGTCATTATGTAGCGTATCGTTATTTGATAAATCTTTCAGTAAATTAGCCAATTCTCGTTCTTTTACACATAACTGTGTTTCAAGTGTGGCTTTTTCTGACACCAATTGACCAGTTTGACGTCTATGGGGGGCACAAGATGCCAATAATTGACCGCTTTGACGAGCTAAACGACAAACTTCGTCTTCCGACTTTAAAGAAAAAATAAAGCCGACCAAAAGATACAGCAACAAAATAAGTTCAATATTTCAATAAACATCTACGTTATCAATCCCTATACATTAATTCTTTTAAAAAATCACAAACCATCCCCTTCTGTTTTAAATCAAAAAGACTCATTTAACTGTGAAAGATAGTTTACTATCTTATCTGAACTTTCTATTTGATTTCAAAAAGTTTCTGAAAAACTCAAGATGGTTACAACCCAGCTATAGGTTACACTAGACAATGGTAGAGATTTGTAGTTCAGATGCATGATTTTGGTGGAGTTTCGTCCTCTGAGTTAGATTGTTTAGTCGTGAAAATATGCTTGTTCCTCTAAACAACACCATCAATACAAATGCTAGGGACAAGTGGGATATTCAGATTTCTCCACAAATGACTGACAGTTTGTCCAGTTGACTTTGATCTTAATTGGTTATTCTTAACCTTTAACCTGTTGTTTTCTACATATTCATTTTGTCTATCTCCTTCCTTTGACCTGATTATTGATTTTGTATTCATCTATGGTTTTTCTGATACCACTCCTCTTATTACAAGCTTTATTTTGATCTATAGACTATTATGATACGATTTACTGTTCTTAAATTATACTCAGTTTACTGATTACAGTCTACCACGTTAACAGCCACATTTTGGCTTGATCTTGTATAAATGTTATTTCCCATTTTATAGTGTGATACAGTCTGTTTGGCTGATATATAAACTAAGTATGCTTGAAATGAATGATTCGCATAATGGAATGTGTTATGAGCGTTCTGGACTCAACTGGAACGGCTAAGAGAACAGAGGACCAATAATAAGGCTAGGCTGCCCATACCGGTCGAACGTCATTGGTTTGGAACAGTATTAAGATTGTATAATTCGCATTTCGATTGGCGAATAAATCACGTGATAATTAGCCGAGCTTAAAGTCACAACACTATTACTATCCAACAAGTTAAATATAACACCTACAATACATCGGAATCATAAACCAGCCTGAGTCAAACAACCATTAAATACCTGAAATCACTAGGCGGCCGTTTCGTTCGAGTATGGGACTCCTAAGCAGTGCGCATTCACGACCCCATGGCCGGGATTCGTAGATTGGTTGAAATTAGACTTGCAACCATTGGATCCCGGCTCAGTCGCATAGAGCTTAGGCGTCCGCAAGTGAGACAGAAGGTCCTATGTTTTATCCCCGGTTACGAGGTTTTGAATGCGCACTGCTGGGAAGTACTATGCTAAGATGAAATGACCGTTCAGTGCTTTAAGGTTTTCAGTCATTGTCTGATTTATGTAGGTTCGTTATTCCAGTGAAACTCAACAATCTTCATGACTTATACTGACCTACAATGAATTTCATGGAAATTCAACAAAAGGATGAAGTTTTACTAATAATGGCATCATATGGTTGCTATAATCACATAAAACCATTATTTTTCATTACTAAATGAATGCATTGCAATGGACTACGTTCACGATTAAATTTGAACCAGCAAACAGCATCTAAGTAAACGGAGTTTTAGTGTTCTACCGATTGAGTTAGGATATGTTGATATCAATTCAGTCAACTCTAATTTAGCTTAGTGTAATTTGATACGATAAATAAATAACTGAATTATGATGAAATTTCAAACTATACATTAATTACACAGTAAACGTATGGCTACAATTCACTCAATATAGAATACTACACATTAATACTGTAGTGATCCTGGGAACAGCAATTTAACGAAGAATTATTATTATTGTTATATAGTGTGAAAAAACGGCTGAATATATTATGGTCATCATGCAACAATGAACATGATAGACGACAGATTTATCAAAAAATGTACTTTTTTGTAAAAGTCTCAACTTTGTAGTGGTGACTTTGTGACCAATAACTCTTTAGTCTAAAGACTAATGAACATGAAGGCCAACTATTTTAGTTTATGTGTGTTGAGTTGGTCAGTGATAATGCAGCAGATTTACTAAAGTGAATCGAACAAATTTGTCACATTTTATATTAGAATATGAAAGAAAATCGGCAAAACGGAAATTGATTTGATCGAAATAATAATATGAATGTCAACTGCGGTGGAAAAAAAGTCTGAAGATGAGAAATCTATTCCCTAAGGTCTCAACTAGCAGATCCAAAGAACAGATAATTTGTACCTCTATTTTTCCACTTAATTCGTACGAGTCAGTTCTGTACATTAAAGAAAACAGTGGTTGAACTCGTGTAACACAGAACTTAACACCATTAAATCTCTTAATGTTAACACTAATAAATGAACGATGATATTTAAAACAAAAAAAATATAAACTGAAACCATTTTCAGTAAATTTCACAGGTTGTAATCATGAGTCAGTTGAAGCTAGACCACCATGGAAAACCTGGAAGCACTGGACGGCCGTTTCGTCCTAGTATGGGACTCCTCAGCAGTGCGCATCCACGAACCCGCCCCCCGCGGGATTCAAACCCAGGACCTACTGGCTTCGCGCGCGAGCACTTAACCATTAGACCACTGAGCCGGCATTCAACTGACTCATGATTATAACCTGTGAAATTTTCTAAAATCTCCACAAAACTCATTCTGATAATAATCAACTGCTCATTAGTGACTGACTTCAGGAGAACCTCATGGAGTTCCAGTGAGAAGCCGTCACCAGTGGAGTTCAACCAGGTCTGTTGTGAGATATCAGCTCACTGAAGACAATGGTGTTCGATGGCGCAACTTCGTGGATTGGTTGAAGTTAGACATTAACACCGTTAGATGCCGGCCCAGTGGTCTAATGGTTAGGTGCTCGCGCGCGAAGCCGGCAGGTCCTGGGTTCGAGCCCCGCGGGGGGCCGGTTCGTGGATGCGCACTCCTGAGGAGTCCCATACTAGGACGAAACGGTCGTCCAGTGCTCCCAGGTTTTTAATAGTGGTCTAGCTTCAACTGACTCATGATTACAACCTGTGAAACCATTTTAACGAGAAAGTCAAGAAAAATTATCAAAACGATGTGGATCAAAAACAATACTGGAGCAATAACTGTAGGTACGAAGAGAAAATAATAATAATAATAAAGGATAAGATTATCTATTTAAATACACTTACTGCATCTAATGAAGCGCCAACTTCAGTTAACTCACGACGAATTTGTCGTGCAGTTTTGTAATTAATTGCTACACATTCTTTTAGTTGTTGAACTAGTTGAAGATCAGCTGCACGATCTATAAAGACGAAATCAAATACTAACTTTAATATATCTATTATAAGCTTTTAAATAAACCATTTCTATCACATTTATTACATTTGTATAGAACATAATGTTGAATAACTTCAGACAATTCAATAACCCAGTATCAGTGTATGATGTATTTTCCCTAACAGTAACTCTATCAAGCATATTTAGTAATAATATCGAATCATAAGGACTGAATTGTAGTATTAAAAAAACTGTAGTCAAAACAAATAATATCTGGACTTTAATAATTTGTCTGAATTATAAGTTATTAATTTCAATGGTTAAGATCATGAGTCAATTTAAGCTAGATCATCATGGAAAATCTGGAAACACTGGACGGCCGTTTCGTCCTATTGACTCATGACCTCAACCATTGTAATTACTATAATGTTTACAAAAACCCCTTCTGATATAAATTACTAATTAATTAATACAAAATTATGAAGTAGGTATAATTATTTGAAAGACGAGAGTAAGACGTACATACCAAATATTAATAAAAATTGAAGACAAATAAATAATTATAAATAATTATAACAAAATAGTCATACTCATAAGGAAAATACAGTTTTAATTAACTGGTAAATAATTAGAAAATGACTCGTAATAAAATGGAGATGAGCTGAAAGCAACCAAGAATAGACTACAGTCAAATGTAAACTAATCAGGAAACAGGTTATACAAATGGATATTTTATGGGTAAATAATAATAGTACAAAGTGTGAGGAAGGATTTTATATAACTAGTGAAGCTATCAGAGTCTTCTACATATTACTCTGCCTATAAATCGGAAAAACAATGATATATAAATTTGTCCATACAGTCACTAACTTCTGGTCTGAGCCAAGTTGATAGATGCAAACTACTTGGTTGAAGTGCACGCGACTATCGTAACCAATGGTTGGAGAATCTCAGTGACAGTTTAAAATCGATCACAATGGCGTAGGTGTATACACTCTTTGTCTTACCTTAAACTGAGATTAAAATTACTATATGCCTTTCTTCCTACGAACTAATTCTTTCTCCCTGTTATAATCTCTTTTCTTACGGTATGACCCAGCTATACCTATTGCTTAATATTCTTGGACACCAATCACTCGACAAGACCCCAAATCAGAACACGGTTGAACAGGAAGAGAGATTATATTCCAAATAACAAGGTTAGATGGAAGTAAGATGCAAGTAAGAAGCACAATAGGGAAAACGTCAGTATATTGATAGTTTTTACATGAGAAGATTCTAGAGTATTCTCCAAGTATCGACTAGTGCTGATTGGATAAGAATTAGCCAATCAGCGTGCACCAAGGCAATCGTGCATTGAACATGCTTTAATCCAGTCTATGTCCCGCGAACATCCTGTATTATATCCTTACATGCAGCCTTTCTTCTATATATTACTATCATTGAAGTAACTGCTTTTATGAATTTGGTGGTCATCTTTTTATGCTAACACCGATGCATATATGTGCCTGGTCCCAAGTCGTAGAAGACTGACTTGTCTTTAAGGGTTAAAATTATTCATCGTCCAAACTCAAACAGATTTCGAAAAGTTCTCACATTATTTTTGGTTAGGGTTAGATATTCAAGGTTAGGATTAGGGTTTTCACTGCGAACTAACATCAGCTATAAAATTGCTTTGTAGCTATATGAATGAATGAATTCCAAGCAAAAATTCAAAAGGAGTAATCCTAAGCCCAACTAGTTTACCAACAAATCATAATGCCATCAGGTTAAGTTTTGTTTCAGGACTGAGGCTTATAATTTAGAAATAATGGCAATTTGCCTATCACATAAAATCTACATGGAAGGAATTGAGCATTTAATATGCTTAACACCATCATTTTTGTCCTATCATGATAAAATCTAACTTTTCGTTTTTAATTTAAGAGTTCGGAGTACTATATAGTTATTTTTACTGCTCACTTTGCGTAATTCTTGAATTTCGAGAAAAATTTCCTTTTGTTCCCGATAAATATATATCAACCGACGATTTGCAAATATTTTGTCACATCAGATTAGTAAACATATTTAGACAATAATCTTTGAATTCATTAATTACTAAAATTCGCAAATCCTTAGAACTTCGTTTAACTGATATGAATTGGCAAAATTTGATAATTCACGAAAATAGTTGAGAAAAAAGAGCAGAACACAAAAGAATGTTTCTTCTCGAAATCAAACTAGTTATTTTAAGCGCTCAATTTTTTCTTGTAGTTACATCACGCTTTGCCTTACTGAATATCAAACCATTGTTTCAAATATTGTGGTTGAAATTAAATCATATGAAAGTAATATGGTCGAAAGTTCAGTAAAACAAAACCTAGTTACTTGTCAAAATCTACACTAAGAATTGTAGTTGTATGATTTAAAGTAATAAACATAATACATGATACTCTACAGAGATAAACCTGAATCAGCATGACTTATTACATGATTAAAACTAGAAATCTCCTTATAAAGACAGTCCTATTGTAAATAGCAAGCTATCAGAGTTACTAACTTGGATCACTTTTTACTGGTAATAACTAATTTTGTGGAGAGAATCCTTAAGTCCTCATAAACGTTTTGGTTAATCGAAAGATCGACTTTAAGCCATAATTTAAAGTTTATAAAAAAGGCCTCTCTTGTTCCCGGTCAAATTACTGTTTTCTATAAATCATATATTCAATTATTTAACCGACTGAAAATAGAAAAACCTACTTTCTTGTTCAGTTAACTGTATTCTTTCTTCCGTCTCCAATAGTAAACTAGACATCATATCAGATAATTCCTCCTCACTAGGTTTGTTTTTTAATTTGTCATAAATTTTGTCCGTGTCAAGATTGGCTGAAACACCTTTAAGACTCAACTTTGCAGTGGCTAATAAAAAAGCACCTACTTTTGACTGGTGAGATGTTGGACATATAATATTTGATTCATCACACATTACACAATTTTGTAAGACATCGGAATCTTCCTGTTCTCTGACCTCTTTATGACAAGAAGAAATTAAATGATGTGTTAAACGAACATTTTCTTGTTCTAATTCAGCAATTTCTTGCAATAACTTTTGACTTTCACAATACCAACTTTGTTCAAGCTGTTCCAAACTCTATGATTAAGGGAAAATGTGATTTTTGAAGACCAAATAATTCTCAGAAACACTTGTTTGGTTTATTTTTATGGTATATCAATTAGAAAGGAGAGCCGAGGACAGAGTTGCCTGGAGAATTCTGATCGAAATCCTATGCTCCAAGAAGGATAACAGGAGTAAGCAAGATTAACTGCCTATTATTAAATCAGTTCAACTGTTTTATGAAATAACACTTCATTGACATTAGCTCTTTAAGCATTGATGCTAGGCCTTCAGTATTCAAAGCTGAGCGGTGATTCAGTGATAATGATGGTAGACTTTCAGTCACTTCGTCCTAGGTTCGAACCCAGCTCCACATAATTTAGTTTGTCTAAATCGATAGTTTCACTTTTCCTCATATATATGGTATGGATTGAAGCTAAATACACGAGTCTGTACCTGGCAAATGGAAGTTAAGGAATAACAAAGCACGAATACATTTTTAAAAAGTGCCAGTCAATTTCCTTGATACTCAAAGCTAATTAAAAACTCGGATAAAACTTTTTTGAGATAGATAAAGCAACAATAAGTGTTGATCTATAAGTCTGAGAAACCATAATGGCATTGAAAGACTTACATTTGGATGATAGTGGAAGCGTTAATTTTTATCAAACGTTCCGGAAGTATGTTAGTAAACGCCACGGAGATACACAACATTCGTTTAAAGCTTCCTGGTTACTAGTGAAATATAGGTGGCAATAAAAACTAGCATACGGAATCGAAAATAACAACTTCACTAACATAAAACTTCCAACGGCATCATTATATTATCACAACCAAATATAAACCTTTCAAGTATATTTGATATTGTAATGCTTAAGTGAGTAGTCTACACAAGAAAATGAATTCAAAATTGATACTAACTCCATTTTTTATACATCCGGAACAAAATGTAAAATCACTAGGATTATGGATGAAAAAATAGTTCCATGTACTTTTATCGACAAAACAAGTGAATAATAAAAAAGTACAAATACCTAAAGTAGGTAAACAAGTGGTTAAATACATCTACGTGAACTACATTATAACAAATCAGATATCTAGTAACTCAAACTGACTTTATCATATTTATCTTTAAGTACAATGTCAGATTTCTGATCTTGACGAAGTTCATCTGCAACTGTTTGAAGGCGTGCAATTTCTTCCTTTTCTTTATCACAATAACTAGTACAAGCTTCTAACTCTTCCAAAATATAGACAATTTTCGGCATTAAATCTCTTAATACATCATCACCATACTCATCAACAATTAACTGGCATTCACGACCGATAGATAAAGCTGCATCATATACATCCATTGTAGTAAACATTGTTTATTGGTTTTGAGTCAATCTAAAGTTCTAAACAGTGATATGAACAATAAATTATATTAATTAGAAGCCATAAACAAAGTAGAGTAAGAATTTTCGATCAGATATAATTTGGCATTTAAAATAAGTATCTACTATGCGAAATTATTTACTTATAGAAACGTATCTAGTTCTTATCCAATATATTTAGTATACAATATAGAGTAACTAGTTTACTGAATGTGTTCAAATGCTTTTAAACAAACGTTAGACAACTACAGATTTAGTGTGTTTTACAATACACATACAACTAAAACAAATTAACCTAGTGTTCAAATAAGAATCACGTTTACAAAAAAAGTGTCCCTTCATTGGAATATTTCTATTAACCTACCATCAACCGATCCTCTTCTCTAATCTCGAAGAACAATCTGATTATAGACCCATTTAGATGACTACATCCTGTTTTTTTAAGACAATGCGCATGCTTTACTCAGGTCAGTTAATGTAAATTCATAAGATCACTGACTGACTAAACACATTTACTTAGAATTAAACACAACGTTATATTGTTAACTCAGTAGTCCCATTAAAGGCCAGCGACACTTTGCACGCACCTATTTTTGTATACTTTTAACATAAATGTCTTCTGCTTTTTGTGATTATGATTCACACCTATAGTATAATATAAAGTAACAGCATATTACTCATTTATTTAGTTAGACAAAAACATTGGTACAAAATGGCACCAAAATATATATGCGCCACAAAAAGTAGCTAACTTTAAGTTAGTTTGTGGGCCGGAATACTCCCTGAGTGCACAAACCAAAGGTGGTTTTCTTAAGGGGCCAATCACCGAGTCTTTGACCTAGAGATCCAATCCATAAGGCAGTAGAACAACATTAGATGTAGTCACATGATATCCGATGACCAGGAACAGGTTCATACACCATTTGCTCCCTCAGGATCCTGAAGCCCACTTGCACCACTGGTTTGGAATCAGGGGTTTTCGACTCCCTTAGGTGAATTTTTCGTGCCTACTAACCTGGTTCAAGCGCTGGACATTCACTTTTCGTCCTACAAATTTCGTCAACAACAAACTTGACACGGAAAGCCAGTGAGTAGGATTTCCCTAACCATGTTTGTAAAAACCTACTGAAAAACAAACCGGTCTCAGTTTCCACTACTTTTGATTTATTAATTCTAAGAATTCTTTTAGTTAGCATGTTTATATAACTAAATCAAAAACCCAGTCAAAAAAGTAGAGCACATAAAATGGGATCATTCGGAGCATACTTTATACTTGAAAAAAGAAAGCCAATGACAAACACGACAGTCTAACTAGTTTGCAAATTTTTGTACTCGTCGTTGAGCCAAACTTGAGGATTGGGCGCCAATGAGTGTTATTTGGTCATGAGATGAACTAACAGCAGTAAACCTTCATCGCTAAGTCAGAACTTCATTAAATTAGAAGTTACCATTCAAGTTTCGCAAGTACTGGGTTACTTAATATTTCTCCAAACACTAAATTTGATGGTTTCATTTAGTGCAACAATGTCGTACTTATCAAAAATTGGAGGCAATATGTTCCAAGACTTATAGAACGTACGTCAGAGATCAAAAGAAATTCAGAACAAACAACTTCATTTGTCACAGGTGAGTTCAAGACGTGAGACGTTAAATATGAAATCTGTAGTGTCAGTTATTATGGCAAGCCCATATACCTTTATTCTAACTTCCGGATATCCTATTTTATTTTACTTGAGCCATATTTTGACTTTGTCAATTATTCGCTTATTAGCCTTGACTGTTTTCACATGAGCGTATATGTGTGTACACTTCATATCCCATGATTCATCACATGTCTGTAGTTTATTTTGTCTGCCTATAAATACTGAGTAACACTTAATTAAAATGGAGTTGGCTTCCCAGCCATCTTCCATACGTGTCAAAATTGCTTTGTTATGGCTCTCGCTCGCTTAGCATGCGAACGGGTCACCTCAAATCACGAGTAGCTCGGTATACTTATTATTAGATGAATGATGAGTCCCATCCTACATAATGGATGGCATTGGATTTATGATCAACTGCACAAACATATTGAATAAGTAGATGCTTTTTGAAATATATCTCTCACACCACAAGAGGAACACAAAAAGCATACGTTCGATGGTATTAGGCAGAATGGAAATAGATAGTTCACGTACATAATTTGTAAACTAATAATTCAAGAACCCTAGCGTAGATTGCAAACACAACTGTCCAATATCTTGAAATAATTACAAGTTTTAGGAACTTTTGAAGTTACTTACTTTTCGCATAAACCGAGTTACAACATTCCTAATCGAAATGTTTGATGAGATTTTAAATGCGCGAAAATTTCGTAAGTTGACAAGTTACTTAGGTTTTGGATATATTTTTCTTTAGTTTAGAGGCAGTCAATGGCTCTTTGATTTTAACAGTGTATGGTTTCAAAAGGATCACAACAAAATTTTATTAAGACTCAAGGTCAACTGTGCAAGCATTATTGTCTTACCACAGCAGTTAAAGTGTTCTTCGGAAGTACATAACATGAACAGTTTCTAAAGTTATTAGGCATCCTACTGGCTATTATTACTTATTATCGATTCCTAGTCTGAATTCTTCAAATGCTTCAAATGAAACTTCCTCTTACCGAGCAGTACCAGTAAATCCTAGATATATTTAAGTAGGGATGTACGCAAAAAATAAGCCAGAGAGCAAAACGTGTCTGCATATTATTGTGGTATACTGCTCCCATTCTGAAAAGATGCATATTAACGTTTCCTCTTATACCATTTCAAGGGAGTTGCTTAGACTAATTTATCCGATAGTGGGTTCCAAGACTTGGCTGCACACAAGGAATAAATGGTTTGCCCATAGTTGAAGAACTGTCTTGTACTTAGTTCATAAGCGTCCACAGTCAATGTTTGTTAAAAACTTAAATTACGTAAATATTATCGCGAATCTCCAAAATTTACACGATGCTGTAAGTCACTAAATCTAGGGATTGGAGGTTACTGAATTTGGCTGTCTTAGGACTGTTATTACTTAAACGACGTTGTATTAACTTGAAACCAACACAAATAGCAAACGAATTTTGTGGACCTAGGATATCAAGACTTTTAGTGTGACAAGATATGCAGCACACAGTAGGCACGTGACATCAGGAATTCCCAGATATTTTGGCTGTGAAGTAAATCGGGACGAAGATAACTGCACTTCAACACTAATGTGTGTCACTAGACCCTAACAAATAGGCAACAGGTACTTGGAGTTTGACAACGCCTTCACATGTAACACTTTTATAATACAATCATATCAATCGAGTTAAATTAAAGGCAGAAATGAAGGAGTTCATAGACATATTTTGAAGGCTGGTTTGGGCTGGCTAACAATTGGAAGCGGTGCATAGCACGGCTTACTCACTCGTGATCTGGTGAGGATTCCTGATTGGTTGCCTTCAGCTAAAAGGTGTTCATTTAACTAGGTCAGCATCAATGTCTAAGACTCACGGAACTATACATCTTTAGGGTTGATTTACCGCTACACCACTTTGTTAATATTGTTTTCCGGTAATAAACAAAGCGCTGTCTGGTGATCTCAACAATCTACATGTGTACATAAAGCATTTCCATCACCAGATCGTTAATAATAAGCGCTACGAGGCGCTATTATCTACAACTAATAGTCTACATCCACTCAATTCCGTCGAAAATGATGTGACGGCCAATATTGCGTGACCATACTTCGAAATCACACAACGACATATTCAACCTAACCAGGTGGTTAGGTTGATAGGCTTTTTCAATGTTTTTAAAAAATGAATGATATCTTACATGAAAGAATGTACATGAAATAACGACGAAAAAGTACAATTCTCGTTACTGAAGTGTCCAAACTCAAGTAAAAAAGGGAAAAGAATGTAGTCAACTACTCTTTACTTCCAGACTAGTAAAAATAATGCGGAAAGCACACGGTACCAGTTGCAAGTAGAATCACAGACATGGGGGCATTAATGCAAAAGAATTTAACGCCAGTACAACTGAGTAAAATTATTGGTACCAACACCTCAACTCTGTTGATAATTATTAATAGTGAACGGTTAGAGCAATACTGACAATTGCTCGATCCGTATCGACACCTCTCTAACTCTAACTATGTTTGGTAAGCGACTCGAAATGCACTGACTATTCTTCCACGGTAGGGATGAGTTTTGCTCAGCGAACTTGTTTAGTGTCTGATGTTTTACTGACACGACATATATGACGCTATCAGTCCAAGAATAAGCAATCTAGTTATGAAAGAGCACAGAATTTTGATACCTCCAAATCCACTTCTATATTACTTTAATTTCTTTTGTGATTTTTGTCTTTTCAATGTGATATAGCGAATTCGGCTGGTGGAAATCTTTGCTAACTAACATAATTTGATGCGAAAAATTCCAACTCGAAATTTTAAAAGATAACCACAAACTTTTATTGGCGATATCCCCGTTGTTGGACGAACAACAATCATGATGATTAGTCATTCTCAACAAATGAACCACTCACCGATTGCTGAAAAACCAAACGGCATAGTCTGCTCCTTTCAATGTAAAAATCCCCAAATAGACACTATCCGATCTACTCTCTTCGTAGTGATGATCAATCTTTAGTTCTAACCTTGAAAATAGCTGTAATGTGTACATGAAGCAACTTGAAAGACATTACTGAAAATGGGCCTGTCACCCTTACGATTTTTATCATTGCATTACCTCTATATTTCGAAATCCGTCAAAATGTGAAGACTTCTAGGTTTTTGTCGTAAAACTCCAAAACATGCGACTTAAAGTGGTCTCAAACCTGATTTTTCAAAAGTACTAAATACAAATCGTTGGTAGGAATATTCAAATACTTTGTACCTAAGCTTACGTAAACGAACTAATAGAGAATACGCAATACAATCCTTATGATCAGGTCGCAGACAACGGAAACGACCTGCCCTTAAATTTGTCAGCTTATTTATTTGTTCAACAGCCGCTGAACACAAGAACCCCAACAGAAAGCATAACGCTAGCCATACGAGATTGCACATTCTGGCACTTGACTGGAATGTGATATTCCACTTCCTCAAATCATGTGACTATCTTAATCATACAATTTATCACTCACTAGCTGGAACTGTTAACATCGTACTTAAGATATTGCTAATAGTAATTATGAAACTTATATGATTAACTGAATAATCAGACATAAACTACGTAAGCATTTGGCAGAATAGGGAGTTAATGTCACCACATTGGTTAATTAACATGCTCTGTATGTTTATTTATGGTATTCAAAGAACACTTTGATCAAATTCAACCAATAAATTAAACTATCATCTCACTAACCAAACGCAAACCACCTAACTTTCTGCATATTGATAATAGCATTATGTGAGGGAACACTTTGAATAAACTAAAATGTACTTTCTCATCGACTTTATTTTAATATAAAAAGAAAACTGTGATATCTGAATTTTTAAAAGTTGAAGAGAACTATTAAATATAAATAAATATAGATCATATCAGCCGTTTTACAATTATATCTGGGTTTGATAAGCGTTCACGTTGATGTTTCAAGTAAAAAGCGTTCTTGATCAAAACGATATTGAAACTACAAAATTTGAAAGCAAAGAAAACAGAAAATGGTAGCTTCTATAAGTAATCAGCCATTTATATCCGTTTTTTCATAATGAAATAAAGACCGAACTGTCGTTAATAGTCGACTGCTGAATAAGATTTCCTTGTAAAAGTAATTGTACAATATTTGTGCTTTATGAACTACAGGTTAAAATCTATTTGTCAGATACCACTGAATATTAAAAAGCCACCTTATTCAACATCATATTTCGTTTATTTTTTGAACACTATCAGTTTTTTATAAATACCCTTGAACCTCTAACACTGTTGTTATCTAACATAATACTACTTGATTAGTATTCAGTTTAATGCTTATTAGAAAACATACGTGCCTATGATTTTACAGCTACAGTGAGGAAATAATCATTAGCAGAATAGTCCTGGTTATTGAGTGCTTTGGCCTGACTTGGACAGAATACACTGATTGGTTATTTTTAAACTAGTCAAAACCAACAGACGAATCGGGAATATGATAGAATATTCTAATTTGAGTTCAATGAATTTATTACTGTACCTATATTACTCAAGTTATTGCGACACATGTTACCCGCTGTCAATTCTTGTTCTGATTTGAGAAGAATCAAGTGAAGTAAAGTATCGGGAAATACTAGATAGTGAGAGAACAACAATAATTGTAAATAATTATTTTTTATTTAGTCTATTTGTCTTTTTTTCTAAATATATAGATGTATATTTCTGACTTAAGAGAGATATATAAAGTGGTTTCTTAGCTGTTTTACATAGATCATAAGTATGGTTTATACAGGATACTGTGGAAGATTATACCTAAAGTACAAACTCAAAACAGTCCACATATTTACTAGCGAAGTATTCTCTGCATCCGTATGTGACTACGGATAATATGTACACGCTGTCTACCCAAGGCAGATTCACAGATAATTTACATAAACCAATATAATATATGAACTAACTGAGGCATCATTGTTCAAGTGTTTAGGTTTAACTTATGGATAACAATTTCCGATGGACAATTTGGACGTTGTGTAGCTAAACGCCTTAATGGAAATGTTTATGCAAACACCCTACTCACATAAAAAATCGAAATTCCGTGCATCGATTGGATTAGCTAATAGACACTGATAACAACAACTAGGAGTTGATAATAGTTGTCTCCTAAGGACTTTTAACATCTGGTGCCAACGATGTACTCGATAATGTGTATTCAAAACAAAGATGATTCAATTAGTGTAACGATCTTGTAAAACAGTATCAGTAGTTTATTTTATGAATATATGTACTCAGTCACAACAAATACCACGATCAGGAATCAACCATATTACTTAAGATATATTTGATCCTTGTCTTTCAATAAATATAAAATATACAATTATCTTACATTCACAAATTTCTCGTCGATTCTTCATGAGCCTTTTCCCCCATGTCCTTTAATTTTATATCAAATTGGAACGGCAGAAATGCCAAGTCGAAGCGTTACTACAGAGTATTACTGTCAGTTCGTTAGTCCCAGTTAGTCACTTCCTTTCAGGTGTAATAACTCAATGGTCATAAGTAAAAATGAAATCAAAAAGGTTAACAAATATATGATTTACTGCGGAAATTACCTCAGAATCTATTTCGTCAAATGACTTGTACTTTGATGTTCCGTTAGTCTGAAAATATAAGTATACAAATTGTCAATTATATCACTTGTTTTTTTTTGAGATCATGAACCGATTGATGTTAGACCACCACAATTGAAAACCTGGAAGCACTGGACGACCGTTTCGTCCTATTGTGGGACTCCCCAGCAGTGCACATCCACGATCCCGCTCGCGGGATTCGAACCCAGGGCCTCGGTCTCGCGCGCGAACGCTTAAACAACTGGACCACTGAGCCGTCATCCAATGGTGATAGTTTCTAACATCAACCAATCCATGAAATTGCGCGACCAACTTCCGTTGTACTGAGGTAGATACCTGTCTCTACCCGACAAGGATTAGCTCCACTGGTCACGGCTTCTCACTAGAACTCCGAGAATTCCCTCACGAAGCTAGTCACTAGTGAGCACATGTGTTATTTGTTCGGTTTGGGAAATTTCATCTACTCTACTTAAATGAAGGGAATCCAACAGGAAGGTAAACATTATGGTAAATGGTTTAACGAAGGATCTCAGTAAGAACTCACTACAGTTATATGAAGTAAGCCAACTGATTAACATGCCTAGCTTCAACACAATATGACTAGAAGCTTAGCAATTAAATATACGTGTAACCAACACTTGAGTTTAATTACCTGTTTATTAATCAGTTTTGTGACAAGTTTAAGTAATGGAAAAGCTGAACATATTTTATCTACTCAACGTCTGATTGTCGGCCTGAAAGATGTTTTCCCTCTATGTTGAATTTACCAAACATGATGTAATTTTTTTTACATTTTTTACTTGGAACAGATGTAGGGGAGACAGAGATATACTTTGAAATAAACAAGCAAAAAAGTCAGTACTTACTCTGCATTCCCCTGGTTCTTCAGTAAGATAACGTTTGTTCAATTCGAAAGGAATCCCAGACAGAGCTGAATTATTAAGAAACAAATGTGAAAATGAATAAATCAAACACTGAAAGCATCATTAAATCTCACATATGTCTTATCGCTAGTTATTGTCAACTGCTTTTGTAATCGAATGTAAGTTCGTACTATGTGCTTAGTGAGTCATCAGCCCATTATTTTCCTTATTCTAATTTTCCCAGATTTCCTCATATACGTTGCCCTGTATGCCTTTCCAACACAAAGCACCCTGAGGCTAGACCCGAAAACCTACATATATATTTTCAATAACTCAAGTGATTTACATCTATTGCAATTCTAGTCATGTAATAAGGTTGCATACTAAAAAGTTATGAAAGATTGTCACAAGTTTCTAAATTCAGTCTCTTCTTCTCTAACATTACACACTGGACGAAGGCACATAATTCAGGTGACGAATGAAAGCAAAACATCAAAACAATGCTACAGTGCCACACAACCAGTGAGTTTAAAGGACATTCAAAATAACTAAGAAAGTAATTTGTCATTGTGGTAAATCTGATGAAATAGTTAATACTGAGAATAATTATAAGAAAAACGTACAATGGTGCTTTGGTTAGGATGTACACCTACCTCTATTTTCTGATCATTCTTTTACACACCACTTATTAGACACTTTATACTTTTAGTTCTTTAAATATTTCATGAAAGAATGAGTAGAATAAGACAAAACTGATGTTGGTTTTTTCAAATTTTGCTGATGCATGTCAGTCAGTCAATCAGTCAGCATCAACGTAGAACTTCGTACGTACGTACATCAGTTCGAGTTGCCACACCACATTAGCTTAGGTGTATACTTTTGATGATATTGAGTTTATGAATTAGGTGTTATAACTGCATAGCTTCATTGTCACTCTGGACATCATCAGTGCCTATTTTATGAAGAATACTCAATGAAAGAGGCGTTGATGATATTGTTGAGAATGGCAGTGAAAACTTCGTAATTAAGCCATGTAGCTAGAAAAACAACAACATCAAATGTATGCTACCTGAAACTCCTTTAGTCACTTTATATATTAACGTTAGTGTTGTGAATGACCAATTTTGCTCCACACATACACATACACGCACCAAGAAAATTCCAAAAGGTATACAATCAATAATAATATAAAAAATTACGTACGATGTACTGTTCCACGTCGCGTTGTAGCGAATGCTTCACAAGCTGAAGCGTTGCCTGATGATGGAAATGCAGGTAAACTTGGATACAAACTATTTCTATCTGGAATTGATGGTCGAGATGGGACTGATGGGGGAAGTTTTACTTGAACAGATGGTCTTTCTGAATTAAGTAAACCAATCTCTGTATGTTTACAATAAATCACAATCGAATTGATATCACTTATGAAATGAATGGGGGAAAAAGGTAAGTCGAAAAGGAAAGAAAAAATACAATTAGCTTATTACCAAAAAAAACCCTTTTTATTTTCAATGAAAAAAAGTACCAATAGCTAGTGGTGCTTAACAGTATTTATATTTTTATGAAATACTAATGCAACTCATCTATGATTTATGACTGTGGACGAATCGACAAGATAGTAGAATATCCTCACTTGAATTCAGCATAAACTTTTGGGTTATTGAAACAAATATTGTTCGTAGTCAATTTTTGTGCTGATTTGAGGAGAGCCAAGTGAATTGTCGTAGTCAGGGAACATTAGACAATAAGAGAACATAATACATTCCATGAAATATGAGTGAATAAAAATTTGGGGATAACACTTAACTAATTATAAAAAATAAGTAATTCAACAGCTTGTCGATTGCTTTCGATTCCCTCCATACAAATAATCAGTCAATAAGTTTACGGAATACAGAGCACAATTATATCAATCAAAATTAACTATCAAGACGAACATTGCGAAAAAACATCCACAACTTGCATTACAAGGTTTTAATTATTTGTAATCCCAACAAAAGGTTTGTAACAAGCAATGTCAAACAATTCTATATGCATACTGGATTTTTGTTAATCTCTAAATCATGTGTCAAGAGGAAGTAAGCCATGATTGGCCAATGAACAAGGACAGACGTATCCGGTTATATTAAATGTGAGAGACTATGTTATATGCAAAAGTTGATCCGAATTTTCATTCTGTTTCGATTCCGCTTTTATTACACTGGTTGACTGCCTTGTATTCTGTAATAATCAATTCAAGTTCTGGCCTATGCCTAGTTCGTGACCATTGGTCGAACAATTAAGTTGAGTATATCACATACGTAATGAAGCATTGTAATTTATTGAGTACACTAATCTAGTGTCCAGATTATTATGTTAGTTCAATTGATCTAACTACCTAATATATAGTGCCCAATGTAAAATCGTCAACTACAAACGTGCTTTTCCGTTAATACACATATACTTGAAAAAAAAAACGCAAATTTAGGAGATATGGAGATTTACACACAGTTGAAGATGGAAACAATTCTCTCATTACATACGATAGTTATCTCTTTAAAGAAGTCTTATTTCCTGGATAATAATATTTGTATAAATCTTTTTTAGAAATATTAGAAATTTTGTTAGTTGTACGTTAAACTTAGTTAAAACAAAAATGAGGATAAATATTTTTTATATTAAAACAAGATAAGTGAAGATGGTTAAAGTGAATTAAGAATACGTTTAGAGAATGGAAAGCATTTTAAATTGATCGGTTGAACTCAACAGTTTAATAGTAAATGAATATAGGAAAATAATAAGTATGTCGTATATTGACTATAGAATTGTTTGATGGTGAAAATCACTACACAAACAAAACTGATGCTTAGCCATGCTGCCGCGTTGAAACTAATTAACATTCATTTCAATAATAACAATAAAAGATTGTATGTGCAAATAGAAAGCCTTGTAAAATTAATTAATGCAGCAAAGCTGCGAATAACATTCACTTGTATAAACTTGTTTTCTGTATTCGCAAAGGATAAGCTTCCCCGTTCAACTGCCTCCATATGCATCTACCAGCTCTTGTGGAGCAATGTACATAGGCCGTAGCCAGATCTTGCTTTCAACTTGGATACGAGAACATTCTTTAGTGTGGTTCTACAAGGGTGAGAGGAAAGCAGTTGGAAGATCCATTCTTGAACACCTAACCAAATCTAATCATTCTACCGATCCACATGTTGATTTTAAGGTTCTTTATACAGTTCATCTAAATCTATCTAGATTTCTTCGTATCCGACCCCTTAAAACAGCAGAAGTTCTTGCCATTCATGAGCTCAAGCCTGAACAGTGTGCACAAAAGAAGCATGTCTTACCGTTACCTTGACCTTAATCTATTATTATTATTATTGTATTGCATATTTGAAAATATTCCCCCTCTCTCTTTAATTATTCCTTATATACTCATGATTTTATTCATGATTGTTTCTGATATCACTTCATTTAATTTTACACCTTCATTACCTTTAATTATTGTAATAAAAACATTTAAATTGTTTCACTTCATTCATATTATAATCTGTTGTTGACTTATTAATTTTACAAGGCACACACGCAATCGTTTATTGTTATCATTCATATTACATAATCTAGTATTATAATCTTTTTATTGCATTATGTATATTCCTTGTTCATATATCCTCACGGAACTAACCAGTTTAACGAAAAAATTTCATATATGTACAATTGTAGAACTTGATAATAAATTCGTTGAAAAGAAATCCCTTTGCTGAACTTCGTGTTTTTAATACATAAATGGAAATGATATGTCAATTCATATAAATACTGTTTTTTTTTAATCATTTAATATTAACTGAATTTCCTTCAATATACCAAAAATAGATTTTTCTTTCTAATGGTTAACTGGTAAGATAATCATTTGCAATGTTAGAAAATATTTATGACAAACAAAACATAGTAGATATTTAATATCAATAATAAACTACTAACCCGATACGTGTATAACCAGGAGTTGTAGTACGTGGACGACTGTAAACACCAATTCTGGTAATTGCACGAGAAGTCGTAGAACGTGGTGAAAATTTAGCACAAAGAATTTTTCTTTTTAAAGCACGTTCACCTAAGTGGTAAATAAAGACACGTTGGAAGCAAAAAATGAAGGGAGATCACGATTAGTTTAATAATTATTAAGAGATAAAAGTCGTCCATTTTAGACAATAAATCGTAAATGTAAGGACTTGTATTATGACCGAAACTACTCACAATTGGTATGCAGTTAACAGTAAGATCCTTGATCCACGTTTCATCTTATTTGGGACTCGTTAGCTGAAAATATACGCCTGCATCCGACTGTTGGTATCCACACATTGGGACCTGAACCTAATATTTTTTGGTTCAAACGCCAAAATGCTCTTCACTGAGCTTTTCAAACCAGATAGTCACTAGCTTACGCAACGAGTATGAATTTTACTTATAAAGACTTGGATTTCTCGTTATTCATATTAACGACTTCAATTCATCAGTTTGTTTTGGAATATGTGTATTAACTTGAGTGGATTGCCTCAATATCGCCATTTAATCACAAGTGTTTGATAAAGCTGGGTAGTGATTAGCGGTAGAGCTCTGGACTTCACTTGTGACTATAGCAATATTGAGGTGATCCACTCAAGTTGGTTTATATATTCCAAAAGAAACTGATGAATTGCAGTCGTTAACATAAACGACAAGAAAACACAAGTTTGTGTTTTGATGGAGTTTTGTCCTCTGAGCTGGATGGTCCCAATGTGTGAATACCAACAATCGGATGCAGGCGCATATATCCAGCTAATGAGTCCCGAATAAGATGAAACGCGGGTCCAGGATCTTACCGTTAACCAAATACAAACTGTACTAAACATCAGTAAGTAGCTGTAGTCATAATACAACAACGTGATAAGTAAAGATTAAGCATATCAAAAAAAAGAAAATTTGAAACAATAGTCACCTAACAAAGAGAGAGATGGGGAGATTAGAAACTATCACCTTGCCTCTACATTATTACTGGCATTTTTAAATCCTTTATGATGAATTATCATTGGACCATATTACGTATTTCAAACAGTCGTCTAAAAGAAAACTTTTGCAGCCAAATTGTCCTCGAAAATGAAGTCACCGATAATTGTTAGGATCTCTTAATAGGTCGAATTGTCGTATCATTATTATTCACAGTTGAATTCAGTAGTCGATCTAAGCTAGACCACCATCGAAAACCTGGAACCACTATACCGCCGTTCCGTCCTAGTTTGTAACTCTGTGCATCTACGATCCTGAACGGAGGACTCGAACCCATGACCTTCAATCTCAGGCGCAGGCAATGGATGAAGGGTTGCGCAAGATCATGGATTGACTGAAGTTAGGCATTATTATCGTTGGATGTTGACTCAGTGGGCTAGAAGTTAAGCGATAGAGTGCGAGACCAAAGGTCCTGGACTTGAGTCTCATGAGCAGGAAAGTGGATGTTCGCCTCTGGGGAGCCCCACACTAAGACAGAACGGCCGTCTAGTACTCCCATGTTTTTAGTGGTGATATAGCTTAGATCCACTCGGGATTTTAACAGTGAAAATACTACAATCTCCATACCAAAATATTAATCATCAACTAATACTCATTTCCAAAGCATGTATTTGTGAACTTAGCTTTGAATTACACTTTATGTGCTAGTATTAGTGACATTACCTGATTGTTCACACTAAAGTAGGTTAATAGATGTTCGAATCTATGACCTTATAGTTGAAGGCTAAGTACTTTAGACATCAAATCACTGAAACAAACCTATGGGCTATTTAAAACTGAAAGTGATATTTTAAATAAAAATGGGTTGGTTAGTTCTTCCGGAAAATTTATTTCAACAGGTTTCTGCTACAGCAATAAGTAAATAGATGAGATAAATTTATTTGCACAAAGTTGAGGAGGATTAGAATTCCAACTAGATTGGGACTTTTCGGCTCGACTATACTTTGGTTCGAGTTATCGGCTAAAATTACTACCCTGACTTCTGCTATCATTAATTCTTACCAAATACAATATAAAAATGAGCAAAAGATGATATAATGAAATTAATGTTCACCTGTATCTATTGTATTATATATCGCTTGATGATTTGCAGGAATATGTTCACCGTCGTCTACTAGTACCAAATTTACAAGTATTGGTCTTTGTCCAGCCTTATATTGTTGAAGACATGGTAAAAGGATATGATAAGTAAAACAATTACATAACATGATACCTACATATATAAGTAAAATTGAGCAAGAATATCCGAATTACAAACTAGATGCCCTTAGATTACTCAGTAGTTTACGACCAGAAACATGAAACTTGACGATTTTGTTTCAACTAACACAATTTTCTGTCAGATTATTGAGTAAATAATGTTGAGGACATTGGTACGATGCCGAGGAATTACGTCTAACGGCCAGATCTTAGCTGACTGACAAGGAGTGACCTACTAGCTAATTTCCTCCAATCGCCTGATATTTTAATGTGTTTATTCTGTGTTCATATTCTGTATACGAGCAGGTTATTTTGATACGAAAAAAACTTACTCACCTAACTAGAGGTCTTGTCTGTGATTTCAAATCATTCGTCAGCTTAATTCAACAGCACGGTCTCGTGAGTAACCATCATTCAGCTATATATCACTGCGTCTATTTATCGATTAGAACTCTCTTAATAGATCTTAACACTCGAAAACTACGTCTAACAAAATCCCAGAAAACTTTCCTCTACAACAGATATTTATCCTACATCTTCACAAAAACTAGATAGTCATGAAACAAACATCAGCCTTTATTTATAAACGGCAAATGTAGCGTTAATCTGAAGGTCCTAACGTCGTAGATTGGTCTCAGCTTGGATAGGAGAGAAAAGTACGAAGTACCACATAGTTGTTTTGTCTTGGTATGAGTACTTAACGGTGCTAACCCACTGGCCCACCATTAATCACTCAGGACTGCCAGGTTTCGCGGAAAATGCTTGATCATCAAAACCAATGGATCGACGTCTAATGGCATAATTTCAACTTCAATCAGCTCGCGTTATAGCGTGAATATCACCTTATCCCATTAATGACAACTGTTTCACTCCAAACACGTTTAAACTTCACAAAACCCTATCAACTGAGTGTTAATATGTATCTTATTTTCATGCACCAACAGTTTATATGGTTATCAAATACAATGAAATTTCTCTGAATCGTAAAAACGATGAACTACGCCTCTAGTACATGATGACTGAGGTGAAATGAAAACTCAGCTACCATTAATCAGTCAAGTTGCGCAGTCGGTTTAGTTGATAATCGGCAATTATCAGTGTCCTTGTCCACGTTATTTTGAAAACCTAAATAATACAGCTTTATGAACTCAATTGTTGAGGTCATATATTAAAATTCGTTAACTGTTTCCCTTTAAATGAAAATTAGCCTTTCTCATTATCATTCCTACTACGTTATTCCGATTTCTTTCCTATTCATTTTGTTAACTGAATCTCGTACTAATGTGGTATGGCATTCTGGGTCAAAGTACATTTGTTCCAGGTTCTACATTTATTATAACAGACTGACTGGCAAGTTTCAAATATAACACGACAAAAGTTCAGTATAGATGTTACAAAGGCGTTGAGGTAAGTACAGTTTATCAGTCCCCATCTTAGATTATTTAGCTCGACGCTGGTGTCAGATGTCTCATTTTTTTTACCTTTCTCCTAATAACAGATATATTATTGCTATTTAATTCCGTATCCGATTTTGTACTGAATACATTACAGAGTGATATAACATCGTTTAGTGAATGATGTTTTAGAAGTGATATTTTCCGTCTATAACTATGGTTCTAATAACAACTGTAATAAAAGCCTTGCTCATTATCATAAATTTTGTTGCGGTAAAATATTCTCAGATTCATTTGTGCAACATAGCAACAAATCTCTCTCTAACACACATTCAAATTGTTTTTAAGAGATTATATGTTACAAATGTTATTTTCAGTAGTTAGTATCTTCTACCTATCTTCAATGTCAAAAATTTACAATCAGTTATCCGACGAAACAACTGTTTTTCTTCTCATCCATTAAATATTGAGTTCATAAGTTCCAATATATTCGTCTTTTATTTTTCAGACGACAGACAAGGAAGAGAATAGGTCAACAAATGTAGTGTTTCGGTCTGAGATATTTAGCACTTAAGCCTTTCATAATACTGCATTAATACATACAATTATGTAGATAATTAGATGAATACTTAGGGAGTTAGTTATTTTATTTTAAGCGTCAGGAGTATTTAAGTTACTTCCGAAAAGTTATAAACTATGTGCTATATCCTTAGCTAAACGATTATCGCGAAATATGATACGCTAACTTATACGACCAAAATAATAACGAATACAGCAGTACGGGCAGCCTAGAGTTCCGATAGGTCCTTTTCCCACCTGATCCTGCCTGTAAAGTCCAGAACGCCAATCTCAGCCTCCGTGATACGAATCATATATTTCAAATATACTTGGTTTATACACAGACACAATCAGACCACATCACACCATAAAATACAAAATAACATTTGATCTAGCCAAAAGTGGCTGTGATTGTGAGAAACTGTGACTAATAGATTGAGAATAACTTGGGAATAGTAAATCATATAACAGTAACTAAGAGGTCAAATAAAAGAAATACGAATACACATATAATATAGTTACTTAATATTAATACAAAAAGAATATTCGTTTAATATTAGTGCATAAGTAATTCTTAACGGTCAGCATTAATTTATTCTCATCCGGATACAACACTATAGTTTCCATAATTTGACCTCATATTATAAACTTTAGGAGTCTTAGTAGCTGAATACGAATAAGTTTAGCCTAGCTTTATTATATTACAAACTATCCGTCATTACGCTTTGAATTTCGCGCGAAGATTCAGTGGCTACTATCTTAAATTTGAATGGTTCGTCAGCATATTATATTTTGTGTATTGTTTATTATTCCTGTACTTTTCCATAAGCAATTGATTTACAATAACTGTTTTCCGAATGACTAACTAAAGAGTTGGATTGGTCAAGATCGAATTAATAATCATTAAAGCGCTTTCCCGTATATTATACACCTATCATAAGTATAAAGCCCACCCCAACTACTTTGATTTTGGTAACCGAATTGAGTCACTAGAGCTTATACTAAGAATTTAGGTCGAATTGAAACAATGATTTGCAAAACTATTGAATAGTTGAAAAAAAAGATAAATCTGCACCAACTGAAGTTTCCAACTGTTTCTCAGTTTTGTTATTTCATACCAAAAAGAAAAATCTAATTAATCAATAGATTGGAAGGCTAACAACAGGTGGAGTAAAACCGTATCAGAAGTGAGATATTTATCACTATTAGTCAAGGATGATGGTTGAATTATCCAATATGGATTGACTAAAGTTAAGAATGTCAACTACCCAAACGGTTACGAGTGGATAGACATAGGGGAGAAAACACTGTCTCACAGTAACATAGTTTCTTAAATTTGTGATAAATTTTCGAATCAAATGTTTAATATGACATATATATGACTATCGGTAATTATAAAAAAGAATCGACCGTTGAATTATCAGGTGGATGGTGGCTAGCTGGGGGATCCAGGATGGGCGTTTGGTCCTACCTGGGACACATCGTTTAGGTGTGCAAGGAAAATAACTAATTAGAATACCGTTTAAAGATCCCCGTCATATTAAAAGACTGGTATTTGAACGAAGAATATTCTTCTCGATAAATTCTCTTCAGGTTCTACAATTATATATCCAAATTAATAATCTGAAAAATGGCCAGGTTAAGGGCAAAGTATTACTATTATTATTACTATTGGTTAAACATCATTATTAATCTATCTTTTACATGGTTCATTCATTTCGCATTCATCCCTCCTCATCATGTCTTACTTATTTGATCGAATTGTAATTGCACTATTATTTATCTCTCACCCTATTTGACCCATATTTATTCTGCTCATGGATCTTAAAAATTCACTTAATACGTACATACAATTGGAACTCATAATTATTCACTTCAAGGAAATCTAAGAAGGAAGACTTATTGCAATATTTCCACAGTTGAAAATTAGGTGGTATAAATGTCTGGACAAACCACCTCAGTCTGTGTACATATAGCAAAATGTATTCAAAGCACTACTTTGTAAGCAAAAATCATGCATTACTTTCTGACAGTGAATAAACAATCTAACATGTGATTTCCAATTTGACATACAACTTTCCGAGTAAGAATTTCATTTTACTTTAGCTTATTCTCTACTAGTTCTTTAGTAATATTTATATCTTTGGTGTTTTTATTTGATTCGCTATTTACTGACTTCAACGTCATTGATGTATACCTATATAAAATGTAGATAGTTTGAATGATAATCGATATCCTAAATTTTGCTTTTAACTTTAAAACTAGACCACATAAAATGGTTAAATTAGAATATCTTAAACGAAAGCCAAATGTTTTCTTCTGAAAACCCAAAAGAAATAGGGACCAACCGAATTCCTTCAAGCATTGTCATACTATCCAATAAAAAATATCATATTCATTTCTAACAGTATCTGAAATATGTGATATATTCTGGCATCCCTGTAAACTGTTAGAATACTTATCTGCTTTAAATAAAGTGCACGATTTTATTTTATTTAAATTAACTAATCACGTTCTTGGATACGAGCTGCACTCCAAATGTGAAGGCTAATGATACTCACAACCCAGTTACTCAACGAGTAGGCAGGACGGGTCCGGAACCTGAGAGTTAATGGTTGGAAGTCGGACCCTTCAACCACTGAGACACCACATAATTTATCAAGACAAATCAATGAACCATTGAACTTACACATGTATTTATATTTTCTGAAACATAACATAGGTATCGTGTACGTCGTGAAAGGAGACTTGATGGCCACAAACAAGCATCATCAGCACTATCTGAAGTTCGAGATAACTGAAAAAAGATTGTGAACATTAGAGCACTAGCAAACCACTTGGTTTAGAAGGAGTATGAAGCTGGTTTCAGTTAATTAATTGAATAAATGAAGCAAGGTTTATGTGATAACAACTTTGTAAAAAATCAAAAGATAATTTCAATGTGATGATAAAAGTGACTTTAGGATGGGACGTTCCAGGGTAATTGATGATATGAAGCAAGAAATTAGGTGAGAGTACTCAGACAGAAGTACTTACATTTGAATAAGACTGTGTTAGATCTGGTATTATCTACCAGAATGCTAAGTGACAAGTACTGATTTTAAGACGTCTGATTTGTTACTTGGATTTGCATTTCCCTATTGTCAACTTAAGTGATGTTCAATAAATAGCGAACCGTCTTCACATATAGCATAATTTTTAAGTTCACGGTCACTTATGGAGTATGTTACTGATGACTGGTAAATGAAAACATGGTAATAAGAAAATAACGGGACACAATCAAAATCTCCGATGAAGCGCATCCTCATAAAGCATAATGCTCCCGGCAAATAATCCTACTTGTAACCTATTAATTAAACACATGTTTTACGAAGACAACTAAAGCACAATGCATGAGAGCTACTGGTACTACCACGTTGGCCAAACCGTATTAGTTGAAGCGGGGTTCAAATATACAACCTGCAGGCTGGAACCCAATAGCTTCGACCACAGAGCCTAAGCCCTATAAGGAAAATAACTAATTAGAATATGATAGTAAACTGCTCTCTCCAAGAGAACATATGCTAAATCAACCACGGAGAGGCAACACTGAATAAAAATATTACATAAAGCGAAGGTAAATATTACAGAGCCTTCTTGATTCATGACTTTCATATATTTTAGATGGTGGAGAACAGTAACCAATCAGATTCAATATCGACAGGATAAGCCGCTAGTTACTTTCGGAGAGATCCTAATAGGTAACTTCATTCTATAGTATTTCATGATTTCCTCTAGAAATACGATGAAAACTTAACAATCGAACCACTTAGTTCATGGCACACAGCTTTAACAGGATTATACATACATACTTTATTTATGGTTGCAAATGTAGAGGTCAATCATTCATAATGGTCAAATACAGCTAATTATGTTTACTTCCACAAAATCCGAACTTTGTAGTTATAAATAATAAGGTCAAAACTAACAACCTACTAGCAACCTTTAACAGTACATCAAACAATCATTTTCATAAAGGAAGAAAATTGCGAAACATCCTTTCTATACGTCTTGTCAACGAAAACCGACGCGACAAAAAAAGGAAATGTTCATTGTAAGTCGGCTACATAAACACAACGTACACACTTTTCAGCTTGTATCTCATTACAATATATGTGAAATCTAGTCAAATGTTCGGATGAAACAGTTAAAATAACATGCTCTGATGATATCCTTAAAGAAGAATCACAACTTATCCATGTTTACCAAACAAGGATACACATATTCATCAAAGTTCCTGACAAAACAGAGACTGAAGATGAAATAAAATCACCGACAACACCAAACATACCTTTATTCCCGAAGTTAGTTTAAACTTGATATAGTAGGTGGAATAATTATTTGACATACAAGAAAAACCACAGAGCATTCATTCGATGTAACAAGATCATCCGTTTCCTCTTCCAGTCAACTGATATTGTGTTTACGGAATAAGAATAAACTAACTAGTTTCACAGGCTCCGCCTCATATTAACAAATTCAGCAGCTGCTATGGGGCCAGGTATATTGTATGTATAACCAGACGAATACATTATCGTATTTCTGGAAATCACCGTTTGTGGTTGGCCAAATGACTAAAAAACCAACCGGAAGTTCTATTCTAAAACACTGCTTGATATTTGGTCACTATACGAGTATAAATTCAGCCGTTGAAGTTATCTGCGGATCCCTCTCAAAATTACCCCATGCTTCCAGAATCTGGTTACACACACCGCAGAAGTCATCGGAATACACATCAATAAATCTAGCCTTTGTATACAAAAAGCGTTTGTATGGCCTCTTGATTTACCATGACCTACACACTCGCTACTAAATTTATCCAGACCCTTTAATTTTGTTTTCTAATTCTCTTCTTACATGATCTGATAATCCAATTTTCTTCTCACCTATCCCATTAATTACTTATTATTAATTCTATTAGTAACACCAAACATTTACATTCAACTATTTAATTTCAAGTTTACTCAGTTCCTAGTTTTACTGTTATGTAAATAGTCGTGATAATTAACCGACTATGTAATTTCACTTTAGTATTGACTCTTGTTATCTGTTGTGTACCTTACCGATTACTAATAATATATGTAGCTAAACTGATCCATCCCCATTCAATCGGTATTAATTTTGTACTACTTGGTTGCAAAACTAATTAAAGAGGGACATTTCTGCACCCAACTCACATTTCTAATATTGCAGTGTGAATTATTAATACACACATTATTAAACTGCAGTATTCCCGAAGTTATTAAATACACTAGAGGTAAATTGTCACATTAGCACGAGTTAAATTGAAAAGATGGGGAGGCGAAATAATATCGACAGCAATGGAACGCTTAACCTCAAGCAATATCGTTTCGGTGATTTCTCTATACGCGAGCAACACAGTGAAGCTTCCATCTTACGGCGTAACATAATAACGATAAACACTTACTGTTAAGTAATTATCACCTTTAACACGGTATAAAGATAAATGTACAACCTGGCACGATTATGTAACAACCCTGCCTGGAGCACCTCTGGGGTTACTGACGGTTAGTGAGTCAGCTACAACGTAGGACCAGGTACATATATGCATCGGTCCAAGTTGCCATACATTGTCACAACAAAATGAACACCGAATTCATAGTAGTTAATTCAATGGTGGTAATACATAAAAGAAAGATTGCATATAAGGACATAGTAAAAGAAGAAAGAATTAGTTCGTAGAAACAAAGGCGAGACTCTAATTTATGGACGAGCCAATCAGAGGCGTTTGAAGGATTTCAGGGTTACAGCGCCAACTTCAGTGCTTAATGCTAACGTACGATGGGTTCACAAGGAATTTTGTAAAAAACGTGATAATTGAGCGGCTATAACAAGTAAAACGACGAGGCTATAATTTGTGGACGAATCAATAAGGTATAAGATAACAGATCTCGGGTTTGGGCACGAGAGCCTTTCATTCATTCGGCTAAATAGATTTCCGGCATTATAGCTGATGTCAGTTCGTGATGAAAACCCCATATATAATTCCTAACTAAAGCAAATTACGACAATTATCGCGAACCAGATAATAAAAGTACCAGTAACACTGGCTGCAGCCAGGTACTACAATATATAAGGATGATTGGAGAGCCTACAGACTCCTATATAGGCTTGGTTATGTGCATCGTGTCGTTATCCTCAAGTAGAATTTTGTTTACTCAACAACCGAAGTGCACATGAACAATATTGAAACTATGTGGTCGAGGCTGAAAGAGTTTTTGAGACTTTATCACGGCTCCGGAGGCCAACTATTCTGTAGCCGTATGAATGATTTCCTCTACTGCATGCATCACGATTTTAGAACCTCTGGACCTCTTTCTAACCTTGACAAGTTTTTGAACCACGTATAAGAAGTGTATCCACTTTATTTCCTTGGTTTTGTATAACATATTTTTACTCTATACTGACTGTTTGCTGATTGGCTAATATTTCTCAAGATCGCTTAAGATTCGTTCAAAGGTTGTCCATAAATTAGTCTCGCCGAAACAAAAATATAAAGCAATTTTAATCTCATAGTTTAAAGGAACACAAAGAGTGTATACACCTACGCCATTGTGATCGATTCTGAGCCATGTCATCCAGAGTCTCCAACCATTCGCTTCGATAGTCACGCGGACCTAAACAAGTAGTCTGCATCTACCAACATGGCTCAAACAAAACGTTAGTAAATTCAAGGACTGATATCACGTTTTGGTTTATATTTGACATATTAACTAACTCGCTAAAAAACGCTAACCACTGTTTACGGATTAAGAATAAACCAACTAGTTTAATAGGCTCTACGTCATATTAACAAATTTAATAGCTCTTATGGAGTCAGCTGTATTAGGTACATAGTTTTCAGTCACTCTTAAAATCATCGACACCAACACCATTAAGACCCCACTGATATTCAAATCATTACATTTATCTCACTACAACGGCAATTCTTAGTAGCCATAATCGAAGTACAATCAAGTCGAACTTCGTATTGGTGATGGTCTTTTAATGAAGACATAACATCCCAATCCTCCAATTTGGGGGGGGGATTTAGAGCCACAATAAAAAAGCCTTGGGAAATGGCCCAAACCCCCAAATTCCTTTGTGTGGGGAGATCCCCAAAATCGTCAGCTAATTCTTGGGTTTTCCCTGATGTTTTCCCAAACTTTGACGAGAATTACGAGTTTTCATATGACTTTAAAGAAAACCTCAAAATTTATACAGCTTTGGGAGACTAGCATTCCCAAATACGCTCAAGGAAAGAACCAACATTCAAAATGGGCACAAAGATTTACGGTGACTTTAAGTCAGTTGACTTCAATGCTGTATAGCTTAAAACATTTCATATACTCCAATAATTTAATTAAACTCGAGTGATTCCTATGTTCGGAGCAAAAAAATGTTGTTCACAGTTGTAAAGCAATGATAACAGAAGTGTCCCAACTTACGACTTCATACTTTTGCTGTTTGGTTCCAGCCTGTGCAACAAAACCAACAGCTGTTATTACACAAGATGAATCCGGATCGGTGCCGGGACTCATCGTTGCCCTGTTCCGCTCACTTCAAATCAAGTGACTATTTCAATATAGTCAATATGATCACGATCAGCTTATTTAAACCAGTTAGTTTGCTTGCACTTGCTTCTTTTCTATTTCAGTGCCATTACAGGTTATTAATGGCTTCTGATTGGAATATCCTAGTCACTCGACCAAATGAGTTTGATTATGAGTTTGTATCTTGAAATTTGGTGGGTACGTTCATTGAATGACTTAAAGTTTCCTGTAACTTGCAGTGATTACGTTGTCTGGTAGTCGACCAATTGACCGAAATGATGGAGCGCACAAGGAACTTCAATTCAGAAGGGCAATGAGAAGACTCTGAGTCGCCTCGTGCCACATTGTGGTTAAGTGTTCTTGTGTAAGTTATTTGTACATGTGTGACTTGACGTGCTATGGTCAACTCATCTCTTATTCTCTTGTGACCTTTATGAATAACGTCAAGTGCATAAATCTATCTCACATGATTTTCACTCCATTTTATTAGCCGTCGATGACTATAGAGATCTGTAGTGGGATTGGAGAAAAGCCACACGATCCACAAAGCTGTGAACACGAGACTACTCAGAAAATAGATATTCAATATTTAACGCGGAGAAATACCTAACAATGGAGAAGGCGCGAACAATGAATTGAATGGACTGGGTTTAATCGGATGGCATGGTTCGGCCATGCAGGCGTGGTCCATCTGAATGTTATCTTATATCTTCTATTCGTATTAAATATATGGTTCCTTCTCTAGCCTAACGTTGTTCTACATCATGTATTGGTAATTGATACGATACAGTGAGTTGGCGTACTCGATGGTGTAACTTCCAAGTAAGATCTTATAGATTAGGTAGTTATATCATGACAAATCTACAAATTTAGGATTAGGTCTATTATTAGAGCAGCACTAATAACATACTAGACCATAATTCCACAGATCTCTATAACTGTACCGTGAGATCTACACCTCTCTTGAAGGCATAAGTTATAGGCTACCTCATATTTTTGTCACACAGCCTTGAAGGCATGAGGGGACGACGAGCATTCTGTCCTTGGGCGACACTAGGTGGTCCGCCAACTATAATTTACGGACGACATTTGAACGAATCTTTGGTGACCTTGAGAAATACTAGTCAGTCAGAAGTATCTTTTGACTGACCTCTTTTCAGACACAAATAATAAAAATGTGATGTAGTTCTTTGAATAGAGTTATACCTACTTAATTATGTCTTTACATATCGAACTTTGACCACAACGCTATGCAATCATTGACAGTAATAACCATCGCAAATTTTCAGTTATGAAATTGACATTAAATTTGTCTTCACTACCGGTTTGAGTATTGCGGAGCACAAATTCTGAATTAAGCATGCATCTTAGGTTCCCATTATATCAGAAATTTATTTGACTGAATGCCATGCACTTTACTGAGGCCAAAATCACTCACTTACGACTCAATGTCAGTTATCAAGCAGTTGTCTCACAACATGAAAAAACTCGATGTCAGTGTAGATTAATTTGGTTACAGACCCCAAAAGCACAACCACCACCTGAAACCAAATATCACTCGTTAATCTCGTCGGCACTATATGCACTGAACCGGCAGTAAAGCCGTGTTTTATGTAGGTAATTGCAGATAAATGGGGTTGCCATGTAGTGGCTGTGCTTCGTTAATTATTCACCCTTGAACCGTTATCGTATAATCTTCAACGATATTTGAAATCAGAAGGCAAATAGAAGCAGCTACTACAGTTTATTTAGTAGATAATTCGGACCAGACAGCAGAGAGGCCAAATGAATGAGCAAGCGAACTACGATTGTAGCAGTAGCAAGTAGTTGTAGTAGTAGTAGTAGTGGAAGTAGTGAATGCATGCAAATGTACACATATATATATGTATAGGAAAATGGATGAGTCAGCGAATAGGCTAAGCAGTTAATAATGAAGCTAGCAGAATGAATACATGCGTAGGCGCTAAACAATGTTCAAGCATATGTATTTCATACAAGCATAATAATAAAGATAGTACAACAAGTTGTTATATCATGGATGACTTTGTCCATTAAATAGGTCAACAAAAGACCTTGACTGAACTAAACTCAATTGCACGTGAGTCACTATAATAGCTCCCCCCTGCAAACAAAGATATATGGAAAAATGTCTGTGTTTGCACAAAAAAAATAGTAAACTGAGTAGGGTAGTTACAGTCGTTTGAAAAAAATGGTTTGTACAAAATTAAGATGAAGTTAGTGTGTGCTGTACATTTGGTTTGCGCCCGTCCGTGAGGTTTTAAAAAATAATAGCAATAAATAGAAGGAATGCGGTATTGCTTTACATTTTAAATAAAAATTATACGTGTAAGTGTAGGGGTACATAAGATATGTTGAGTTTTATAGCGTATAACATGAAATTAGTAATGCATGTGTGTACAATGAAGTGGAAGTTATAATTAATATTTTAAATAGTAGAAAATTATTAATAGAAGATTGTAGCGACATAATGTTGGGGCCATCTTACTCTTCGGCCAGACCTTGTCGTTACTGGATTCTCTTTGCTTGTGTTTGTCGATGTCGTTGATGATTGGAACTGACGCTTCGATGATTCAACGGTTTTCGCAGTATCTGTATGTACTGGCTGATCGTAGGCTTCGATGAAAGCTGGTTTGACTCGGTCGATGCTAATTACATCCGTTTTTCCAGCTTTTTCTACCGTGATAGTTTTGTCGTCTCGTTTAATCACCTTAAATGGACCATCGTAGGCTGGTTGTAAGGGACGTTGCACATTATCCCTTCTGATAAACACATGGGTACTGTCACTTAGTTGTTTGGGTATGTACACACGGCGTTGATGTTGTCTCGGAAGCGTTATCCTTAGACTACTCATATGCTGCTTAAGACGCTGTACATAGTCCGCTATATCAGTTGGATCGCTTTTACCTGCAGTGAAAAACTCTCCTGGCAGACGTAGTGTGGTTCCATAAACCAATTCTGCTGGGCAGCATTCTATATCTTGCTTGATTGTTGATCTTAAGCTCAACATGACTAACGGTAGCTTGCTGGCCCAATCATTATTGCTGATGACAGCTGTAAGAGAAGCTTTAAGTTGCCGATGCAATCTCTCTACCATACCATTCGACATCGGATGGTAGGATGTTGTGCGAATTCGTTTGATTCCGAGTAGTTCTGTGAGTTGTTGGAAGAGGCGGCTCTCGAATTGAGCTCCTCTATCGGTTGTGATATTAGTAGGTACACCATAATGAGAAATCCAATGCTCTACTAGGGTTTTTGCGATAGTTTCGGCTGTAATATCTTTTATGGGCACAGCTACAGGCCATCGTGTGAATCTATCAATGCAAGTGAAAATGTAACTGAAACCATTCGAAACCGGCAGTGGTCCTATAATATCGATATGTACGTGCTCGAATCTGTTATCGGGATGACGGAAATGACCTACTGCGGAACTGGTGTGGCGATGTATCTTAACTCTCTGGCATTTTATACACGCTTGCGTCCAATTACGAATATCCCGATTCATACTTGGCCATACAAAACGTTCGCTGATTAGTTTGATGGTGGCCTTTATTCCGGGATGCGAAATATTGTGCATGGCTTCGAAAATGTTTCGCCTTAGCGGCTTTGGAATAAATGGTCTTGGTTGACCTGTAGAAATATCGCAGGTGATGCTTACTTCTTCCAATGGAGTTTCTTTGAGAACTAACGAGGTTGTGTTGGCAGACTTTAGTCTGTTTAACTCGACGTCGATATTTTGTAATGCTGCTAACTTGTGATAATCGATTTCGGACTGGACGAGAGCGTTGACCATCGTTCTAGATAGCGCGTCTGCCACTTCGTTTAGCTTGTCGAATTCCTGTTTTGCGATGGCTAGTCTTTTAGGATCTAACCTTCTTGGTCTTGCATTGATTGGTGGACCATTCGTTACGATGTGATGCTGAATAGAATGTTTGAGATCCGCTTTATTGTATGTTACTTTTACGAGTTCAGGGAACTCCCTTAGCAACAATTTATATGGATCACCACAACTTTTATCTATCACAAGGTTCATTGAAACGGCTTCCGTAAGTATTCCTCTTATCGAAGTGGTTTGACTGCCGTTTATAAGTCTGTGTCGTCTAGAGTCTACTAGCAGGTCAAAGTTACATAAGAAATCTATGCCTATTATGGGCATCGATACGTCTGCTATGACAAAGTTCCAACGGTATGAAGCGCCACGTCCAAAATCTAGGGACAATTTCCGTTTACCATATGTCTTAATATCTGATTTGTTTGCTGCTCTTAGCACTAACGACGGGTTAATGTTTTTTCTTTCCTCGTTAAATGGAGGTACTACGCTAATTTCCGCTCCAGTGTCAACTAAGAATTGTGCGCCAGTGGTCCGGTCTTGTATATAAAAGAGGCGACTATTTTCAGGCATTATGTGTGTTGATGCTGTTGCCATTGATACTCGTGGGTATCGGTTACTATTCCTGTTAAATCTACAAGGTTGTAGGCACTTTCTGGCCCTGTAGCCGAACATTTGATGATACCAACATATCGCGGGAGTTGTGCGTCGTCTAGAAGTTGACCGGGTCCTTTCACGCGAACGATCTCGCGATGACCTTCGTGGCTTTTCTCTCTGCGTTAACTCTGAGAGTTTTCGGCACAAAACATTTATTTCCTTCTGTAGAGTATCAAGTCTATCGTCTACCGTCACATTGTGTAGTGGAGGGCTTGCTTGCTTGCTTCTTTCGTATATTCTATCGGCTATCTTTGCTATATTGTCTAAATCAGCATCCGTATCTCCCACAGCTAGGATCTGCTGTATATTTGCAGGGAGTCGGCGGAGCCACAGTTGATAAAAGAGATTATTGTCAATGTGTCTATCGCCAAGTAAACTTTTCATATAATTTTTTAGTTGTGATGGGGTTCTATCTCCCATTTGTACTTGGTTAAGAAGTTGTTCGACGGCTTGTTGGTCACTGAGAGAGAGAGTTTTAATTACAGCCTCTTTTAGCACGTCGTATGGTTTTTCTGTGTCTGGTTTTGCTAGTGCCTCTCGAACGCTGTCAGCTACTTCGTCTGGGAGTAGTGTGCTTGTCAGGCCGAACTTATCCTTTTGCAAAAGAATGCGGTTAGCGAGAAAATAATTTTCAAGTCTTATAAACCAAAGTTTTGGGTCTGCGAT